CCTCAACACCAGATCCGAGACGGTCTCTGTCAGCTCAGATAGGGAGACTGCTGGGCAGAAAGGTGCACGGTATACCAATAGAATCCCCAATCTGTCTCGTTCGCCCAACACCAAGTAGAACATATAAGAATTATTTCTGTGTTCTCAAAGCATGGGAGCATGCCATGTTTACAACCTTGAATGCAAGTGTGAAGAGCACACAGCCACACAAAATATTCACACATTGTTGAACAAGTGCTTACATCGATCTGTGCAAAATGTCCTAGTTCAATTCCTAGTGCTTTTTTTTTTTTAAAAGTGCGAATAGACAATGTACTTTAGTGCTAATTTGCATCAAGTAATGCAGGTGGGCACACGAATGCGGGTGCGTATTCATGGTAACATTCACGTGCATGCATACACTGAAAAGCATTTGTGTATCTGCAAACCGGCACACACGGGCGGAGGGGGATTTTGGGCAGCTTTCATTTTCAGAAGCTGTTTCTTCTGCACAATTTTCCTGTCCTCACAAAATGAACAGTGATGACATGTGAGCACAAATCAGGAAGAGGCAAACAATGAGCTGACGTTTGGGAAATCTTGCCAATCCCTACCGGAGCGTGGGCTGTTTTCTTGAATTTTGATTAGTTCCCCCCCCCCCATTCTTAAAAGGCTGACATGCTTCTTTTCAGGCTTAGATACAGGCAGTAAGAACTTTAAGCTAAATTATGCAGGGATTTGGATGTTCCTGGTATTGAGGCTCCACTTTTGTGCTTTCGGTCCTGACCACCCCTCCAAAGTGGAGTTTGGCTGTTGTACTGAAATCGGTTCAACGTCCCCAATCTATGCAGTGATTGCAGACAAAATGGTAGCAGAGGGCAGGGGAAGAAAGGCGAGCTATTACGGGCATGAGACACCTCCCCTTCATCCCCTACAACACCCTGATTCTTGCTTGCTTGTTTCCTTTTGGAGCCTTCTGCAGGCATGTTTCAGTTCAGAAAGCTTACTGGCTTTCACTTTTACATTTCCTCTTACCCCACTTTGGGCAATATCCCGTAGGACAGGAAAACTGAAGGTTTTCTTACTATCAAAGACTGGAAAAACAAGCTAGCTGTGTATGCCCCAGTGGTGAAGCTAACCAGTTATAAACCAATTATATGAATATGTCCTGTCAAAGAATTTAATGCAAAAATGAAATCTTACTATGAGAAATTTAACTAATGATTATGAAAACGGAATATCTAAAAATACTATCAGTAATTTTTACTCTGACACTGAAGCTATGAGATTATCTGCAGTTAGTTTTAAAAATTAGATTAATCTGTATGAGAAACTTGATCAAGAATTGAATGACTTGAACGTGAGTAGAGCAGACAGAAACTTTCACTTTTCGTGAATTTGTTATATACTGAAATTATATGGTATATGTGTGTAATATCCTTGGTATCCTTTTAACTGTATGTTTTTCTTTCTCTCCTGTGTATCTTGCTTCATTTTTATTAAAACAAATCAATAAAATTAAATAAATATCCTGTAGGGCACTGAAAGTAGCTCGGAAGGCTGAAATCCTGTCCCCTCTCGGAGCTCTGTATTACAACACAGGGCGATACGAAGATGCGCTGAAGGTTTACAGGGAAGCTGCCACGCTGCAGCCCTCCAACAAGGAGACACGGCTGGCCCTGGTGAGTGTGTGGACCCGAGCCCACATTTTAGCAGTCCAGTAGACTTTAGGTTTGCATAGTTGTTTGTGCTTGCAGGCAACTTTGGAAGGAGTGTAAAATAAAACCTGTGAACTATCACTGGGCCAGGGAGAAGAGGATTTGGATATGCTGGTAGAGTCCCCAGAATTCCCTTCCACAAGAACCACCACTGTGGATGGCTTCCAAAGAGGAACAGACAGATTCCAGGAGGAGAAGGCGGCCAGTGGCTGACTCTGCACTGCCTCCAGTATCGGAGGCAGTGTGCCTGTGCACACCTATTGCTGGGGAACATGGGTGGGAGGGTACTGTTGCATTCATGTCCTAATTGTGGGTTACCCACAAGCAGTTGCTTAGCACCTGCGTGAAGGGAATGCTGGACTAGATGGGTCCTTGGCCTTGATCTAGCACGTTCTTATGTTTTTATGGTGCCTTCTGGTCATGCTGGGCTGAAGCTTCTGTCCCCAGCTTGCATGGGAGAGTGCCAGGTTATGTGAAGCTGGCCTCGAGGCTTGTAAGCCGCCCCGAGGCTTCGGCGAATGGGGCGGCATAAAAATGTTTTAATAAATAAATAAATTTGAAAGACTTGCCTACTCCCATGTAAACCTGCCAGGTATTAATGTCACCATCTGACTCTGGGGACTTCCACCCTCTGATGGTGTGGATATGAGAGAAAGGGCCTTATGACTGGGGAACCCTTATCCAGAGAGGTTGGTGTCTCCATGCTGGCTTGCGAACCAGCCATCTTAAGCTGTTGTGATCACACAGGCTGCCCATCTGCATTCTTCACAGCTGAGCAAGAAGACCACACTCAGGCCAGGATGCTTTTGTTTGATCTTGCTCTTTGTAGGCTCAGGTTTTGGCCATGATGGGACAAACCAAGGAAGCAGAACAAATGACCAGTCATATTGTGATGGAGGAGGCCGAGTGCCTCGAATGCTACCGCCTTTTGTCAGCCATCTACAGCAAGCAGGAGAACTACAACAAGGTAGAGGGGCTGCTGTGGTGGGGATGCTCTCGGTCTGAGCCCTTGCTTAGGAAGCGCATCCTTGTGTGACCTTCTCTGAGTGAAAAAAGTGCATTTCAACGGGTGTGGAAACGGGCCACTGGTTCCCGTATGTGCTATGGCTATGAGCAATATAGAAATGTAGTAGTAGCAACAACCACCACCACCATCATCCCCATCAGAGAAACACCTTCCCACTCCAAGGGCTCAGCATTCTCTGGGTACCTAGCAAAGCCTTCAAGATACGAGGCTCAGGTCTGAGAACTGTTTGCAGAAGGGAGTTGGCGGAAGAGGATTTCTCTGTCATGAGCTAGGCATCCCCTCCCAAACGAGACAGGCACTTTAGCAATTATTTAAAGTGTCTTTATTCCATACAGAAGCAACGTACACCAGGTGGAATGTTGACCCCTCGCTCTCCCCGCTTCACCCAAAGCTTTGCTTATGAACCCTTTGGGGCCGGTCTCTGGAGGGAGGTGTGCTGTGGAAGCAGGCACGCAGATGTTCTTCCCATTGAGCCCCTGATTGGTCCTGCCAGCAAGTGCGTCGGGTCCTTGCGTCCGCGTCTCCAGGGGTGTCAAGTTCTCCTACGAACCCCTCCCCAGCCTGTTCTCCACTGGCTTCTTTCCCACAATCAGGAGTGAGGGTTCTCAGTGGTTGTCCTTGAAGCGCTTTGATCCAGAGCTGTCTCAGGCTGGCTCACTGGGAGAGTTCGGGCAGCCGGGACCTCGCTAGTCTCAACAGCTCCAATATCAGAGTGAGAACTCTGAGCCACGGCTGGGTCAGCTATCCACTCCCCCTCCTCCGGGTCTGAGCCGCCATTCCCTCCGAAGCCCTCTGTCTCTCGTGCGTGCCTGAGAATCTCATCCGAGCGCGTGCACATGACACTGTCCTTTCTCCCCAGCATTCCCTGACAGTCTCTCCCAGGGGCCTAGAGGACCCTCCTGAGTCAGGTGTCCTCTGTTGGTGGGAGCTTTGCCCATGGAAGGCAACTTTGCCCTATTCGGAGCAATTCATTCCTCCCTTCCTCGGAAGCCCCCTGCATAGCTCATCCCATTGGAGAGGGGTCTCTGTGCAGGAGATGCTTGAGGGAAGGTATAGGGGATTTCAAGGGGGAACAGGAGCTCAGCAATTTTCCATCTTCCAACTTCCGTCTGTGAGTGGTGCTTCTGGTTGAATCCACAGCTAAAATACAACTTCTGTGGCCACTATGAGTATGGTGAATTAGTGATGCAAAATGCTTTATTTTGTATCGATACTGCTGAGTACAGGACTCAAGGGGTTCTGATAATTAAATGTGGGGATTTTTTTACTGTTGAATTGATTTTGTGCTAGAGAGGTATTTTTCATAGTGGTAAAAAGGGCAAGAAAAGGGAGCTGCCAAGCACTGGCAGAACATTATGAAAGACCTGAAAACTAATTTTCTCTGTAGCAGCAAAACCCAGCCCTCTGAGGAGTGTACTTGCATCGTACACCTCATTGTCTCATTCGCACATTGTAAGTGTCCTCCTAAAAGGTGTATGTATCAGTCCTTGGAGCAACCGTTCATACGTTGTGGGAGTTTCCGAAACATCTCTGTGTCTGTGTGTTGTGTGTGTGTAAACAGGCGCTGGAAGCCATAGACAAAGCTCTACAGCTGAAACCAAAGGATCCTAAAGTCATATCAGAGCTCTTTTTCACGAAAGGAAATCAGCTAAGAGAACAAAATCACCTGGACAAAGCTTTTGAGGTAAAGGAGAGTAAAAGGAAGACAGCATTAAAAATCACGTTGTTTAACACAGTGGTATGGTGGGCAGAGCCAAAATGCCAGGACCTTTTTATTAGGATGCTCTTACCACTAACTACTAAGCCTTAGCAAACTTGTAGAAGCTGCAGAAAAATTGAGAAACCACCAAATGAGGGGCTTTTGGAGGAAAGGGAATTGGTTTGGGGCATTCAGGATTTGGACTGGATTTGGCTGTGCCCTGAAGCTTGGTGCTTCTTACAAAACCTAAATCACGTATTTCATAAGTGTCACACACTGCTCTTCCTGTTGCTTGGTATGTATTCAGATTAGCAAATGCAGCTGAGGACTGTGATGTGACGGGCTGCCCAGAGGGCGCCTCAGAAACCTCTTCCCTCCAGTTTGGTGCACTGTCACCTCTGCCTGCTTAACTTGGTGGGGGAGTAGCCCAAGAGACCGATCAGCTTTGAATCTTTCCTGCACACTTATTTCCCTAATTATGTATCTATTTTAGTGATGATTCTGAAGTTTCCAATTCCTTGGCTTTGAACGGGAACTTTCAGAGTCCTTCTGGCTGGGGCACCTAAGATCATGAAGTTCTTTGAGAACATACTAGGAGTGGTCACAAGCCGGTGCAGTACCTAAGAGTGTTTGACTAAAACTCATTAAGCTCATTGGTGATGTTGGGCCAGGCATTCAATGGCAGCCTAACCTACCTCTGGAAAAAAAATGGAAAGAAGGAAGCCTAGGTGAGCTGCCTTGGGTTCCTTGCAAGAATAAGGTGGGCAGGATATAAATGTAATGAGGTGGCAGCATTAGTAGTTCTACTAGTTCAGAGAGGGAGATCAGAATCGTTCCTCTCCAGGCTTTTCCAACTATAGCTTCCAATATAATGTTGGATAACAATCCCATAGGCCCTAAGCAGCTGGTCAATGGTCAGAGTTATAGTCCAGATCACATCCAGAGACCTAAGTTTGAAAACAGATGCTTTATACCTCCATTAAGGGATGCAGCACAGGCACAAGCACTCTGACCATTAGTGTTTGCTTTCCTGTCAATTTAGAGCTATAAAGTGGCTGTAGACTTCAACCCAGAACAAGCACAAGCCTGGATGAATATGGGAGGAATTGAGCATATCAAGGTAAGAAGAGTCATAACTTTATTTTATTGTTTATAAAAACGTGTATGTACCACCTTTCAGCCCTCACAAGGGCTCAATGCAATTTGCAACCCTAAACATACATTCTTAAACAATGGAACTGAAGAGATTTTTTTTAAAAAAATAGAACAAGAATGGAGAAACAGTGGTGCAACTAAGATATTTTAGATTTGATTGTCTTTATCAGTCCTTTAGATGATCGCCCCAGGAAGCACACCACAATTTAAAGCTTCCCCCTACAATTCCATGTAACTTTACACTTGCTCTCTATATTTCCAATATATTTGAAGTATAACATTAGCAAAACTGTTTGCCAACCCTGATAAGATCATATCCTAATGATGTGCAGGTTTGCATTTTTAACTTTCTTACATCCTTCCACCTTCGTGACTGCAGGTGGAGCTTGCTTCTGCTGCCCGGCAGCCTCCCTACCTGCTTCTCTCTGGGCAGTCCCTTGGAAGGTGCCTGGACTTCGGCTGCAGCACCAGGGGAGCAGGCTGCCTTCGGGCGCCTGGGGGGTTTCAAAGTAGCTGCTCCTGAAGAAGCAGCTCCTTGTTCAGCTTCACAGTAGAGAGGGAGCTGCTCTGGAGACACGTTTGTGTTTGCAAGCAGGGGTCCTACCTTCCAGAAGTGGGTGATTAAATCAGCAGCTTTTTTGTCAAATACGGAATATCATAGAATCAAAGAATAGTAGAGTTGGAAGGGGCCATGGAAGCCATCGAGTCCAACCTCCTGCTGTTGCAGGACTCCAAGTTACACCATCCCAATCAGATGGCTGTCCATTCTTTTTGAATGTCGCTAGTGTGGGAGAACCCATCACCTCTCTAGGCTGCTGGTTCCACTGCACCTTTGTAAAAGATTGCACAAGAAAAAACATATTAAAAGCATAGTATGACACCATTTCTGCACATAGCACTGTTCCCCACCCACCCCCCAAATTTGCAAATATAGCCACCCTATTTTTTTTCCAAATGGAATCTGCATGCAGGCTCAACTTGTTGCTGGCTGAATAAGCACCATCTGGGGGAAACAGAACAGACTCCACAGAGCTGAACTGGAAACACCCTTTTTCACCCTGCAAATGGAATTCTCCTACATCATAAGAACAGTCGCTTCCCATTCATGCCTGTTTGGACAATAACATGTTTTTCAGAGACCTTCCTCTGGGTATCTCTACCAAATGAACTTGGCCAATAAGGAAAGACTTTTTCCAGTGGTGGCACCCTAGTTGCGCAATACCCCAGACATACTCAGCAGTTGCCTACAGGGTGGTTCTTCATTATTTTTATTTTCTCAGTCTCTATTTTCCTTCAGTTTTTAAAAATGTTCTTGTTTAGATCTTTGTCCTGCTGCTAGATCTAACCTTGCTTTTAACTTGTGTTTATTCTGGCTTGGACTGAGGGGTTTTCTATCACATTTTACCATCTTTACTACAATGTATTATTTTGCTCAAAGAGCTTCAACTAATGGGTGGAATAGAAATATAATAAAATCAAGATATACAATGATGCTGTTGGGGATTGTATTTCAGCAAATGAGATTATGCAACTGACGTTTATTTCCCTTCACCCCACCTCTTTTCACAGGGTAACTATATCGCTGCACGTAGCTATTATAAGAAAGCTTTGCATCTGGTTCCAAACAGTAAGCTGCTGAAAGAGAATCTGGCTAAATTGGATCGCTTGGAGAAGCGGCTACAGGAAGTTCAAGAAGGAGGATAACGGGGACAGCCAGAGTTTGTGTATCTCCTGGAGATGAGTGAATACTGTGGAAGCCATGGTTAACCCTCAAGACAGAAGCAAAAGAGCCACGGTTGCAGGGGTGACCCCAAATCAGGTGTACGTGGGGATCCATAAAAGAATGGCATACAGGCGAATCTCGCTTGAGTCACCAAAGCTCTGGGAGTCCTGCTCTTTTTTCTTGATGTGCTGTAGAATGGGCAAAAGCCTACTTTTGATCCAGGTTTTGTTTGGGTGTGCATCTGTTCTGTTAGTGCTCACAGGGGGAATCGCTTCTGTTGTGTCCAAATCTCTCTCTCTCAACACCATATGAAATGAAACTCATGCACTAGGATGATTGTTGGAAGGAAAGTGATGGCCTGATTTAGTAAGGACCGGTCCCCATTTTCAGTCATGCTAAAGGAAATATTGTACCATGGATTACAGGACTCCTGAAGCTGGTCCCCTGATTGGTCGCAGAGATGGTGGCTGCAGCTTATTAGGAAAGGAGGAAAGAGGCAATAGTCCCTCTCAGGTAGTAATTCCTGGGCAATAATTGTCCATTGTCCTAGGAACAGGCTGGTGCAGCTATCTGCAGCTGCATAGTGATCATGAGGGTGATTCGAGAAGGAAACCAGTTCATATGAACCAGTTCCTTTCATGTGACAGTTTACAGTCAAGTTATCACAGCAATTATGGGAATTTAGACCACTGTTCTCATTCAGGAAAAACGAGATTGCTGTTTTTGTGAAGAATGGAAGCTTGAATGAATTGGACGAAAAGGGGCATTTCTTAAACACAGCTCAGCTTGTATCACACCTACTGCTGGGGGTGTGGTGGTGTTACAATTGCTCCTGGAGATTTTTCCAAGTGTCTGCAGAGCTGTTCGGTTTATAAGGTCTGGGAAGTGAGTGAAGGAAAGCTTGTTGAAAACTCTTTGCCCTGCTTCTCTCATGAATACAAAACCCAGCCCTTTTCCAGTGAAGAAAGTTCATATTGCAGAATGGATTTTTTTAAACTTTTGAGTGTCATTGAACATAAAATGTTACATATTTCACTTTTCCTTGTATAGGTCAAAGTTAGGGGATGCTTTTTACGTCAGGAATGGTAGCTAAACTTGAGATTACTGATCTTATTTGTATGAAGCTGGAGAAGGCAGTAACCACAGAAGGGGAATGTGTGTGAGTTACCCCATTGTTCTTCATGGTCACTGTGCATCACACATACGGGCTCTGCACAGATGGCCACTTGGAAACGACAGGTACAGGTAGGCAATATTGCTCAAGCAATCAGGCACCTCAGAGCCCAGCAGATCATTCTGTTCCCTTGGGCTTGCTCCACTGGCTGAATACATTTGAGCCCTGCTACAATCAGGATCCCTTAAGCTCATTAAAGACCTCACATATAATGTACATTGTGATGTTCCTTGCACATCGGCTTATCTGCACAGGCTGGCAAAGGGCTTCTCTGCGTGGAGCATACAATCCAGCGCTTTACCGAGGCTCCTTCTTCTGCTTTCTTTGTGGGAGGATTAGTGAGTCCTTTACATCTGGTTCCCCCCCAAGGGCTTTCCCCTCCGCCTTTCTAGATGTTCCATTACACAACACCAAGTGCAGGTGCCCTATAGAGTAGAATTGTGAAGATACGGAAAATTTGTGTAGCAAATATGGCACTGTCTAGGAAGATACCAGCCTTTCCACTCCCTAAAAAAACCCTGCAAGAATAGCTGGGAAGCTGAGGACCTGAGGCCCTGCGAGGGTGCCGGCAGCAGCAGAAGGCCCGGCTGACTTGAGTGAGGAGTGATCACGAGTACATAATAAAGTCTCTGAGGAGGAAGAGCCCCAGGGGTGAAGGAAGCGTTGCAAAGTGACTGCAGTCTGCTTGGAGTCCTGCATCAGCAGGGGGTTGGACCTGATGGCCTTCATGGCCCCTTCCAGCTCTTCTATGATTCAGTGAACCCTCTTCCAGAAGTTGCAGCTGTGTAATCAAGCTTGTTCCTACCACTCGTTAGGCAATGCACCACCAAAGGTAGCGAATAGGGGGCTCGTTTATGATAGTATGCACATAGCCATTCCATAAACACCTTGTTTGCTGCCAAGCGACTGAGAATTTTTCTCCTGCTCTTTCAGAATCTTGGTAAATACTTTCCATGACTTGGCAGGCCAATATACCTATCCGCTATTGCTATAGAAGGGCAGTTTCTGGATAAATTTGAAATGCCTCAGGCCATTAAGAATGTCAGAGAAGTGTGAATTGATTGATGGGGAACTTGGAATTAGATTGTACTGAGGCTGTAGGCTTGAGCAAGTCATTACACATTAGCCTCAGTTCCCCATCTGCAAAATGGGTACAGTAGATACTCATAAGTATGTTGCAGGACACTCCAAAAATTAAAGATGCTGCATAAAGCAGAGGTGATAGCATGCCAAAAGATGCAGAAACAGCTTTAAATATTGTACGGGAAATAGCACTTCTGTTTCAGTCCTTAACTTTCAAGATGGGGCAGTGCAGAAAAGTCTGGTTGTAGTTGTGGGGCCAGACATCCCTAGAAGCAGGTAGAGTATCATTTCCTGCACAAACTGGAGGGGCTGGGATGACACAACAAGAAGGGCATAATGAGTGAATGGTGAAATGTTCTTCCACTGAAGTGAGGGAAGATTTCAGAGTGATAATCGAAATGCATTTCCCAAGTGACAATCAGGGCCATCGGCAATCTAGGTAACCCCAGGTGTCTGAAGTAAGAAAGGGAGAGCAAGACAGAGAGGAGAGCGTACAATAATGTGTGTGGGAGGGTGTGTGTGTGTGCAAGAGATCATCTATTTGCACTAATGATCTTGAAGTTACTTGTTTCAGCTTTTTTGTTTTGATTTTGGTGCAATGGGACTTGTAGTGCTGAAGCAGAGAAACATGGTCCCAAAGGGATGCCTCCATGTTGCTGTGGGGACGTACCCCCCTCAGCCCAATCCTCCACTCTTCGGCATTTTACATTCAGGGTTCTCCCCTAACCTTTGTCCCACTGGTTGTAATGGGAACCAGCTGGTCAGCTGCTTTCCAGTGAACTTAGGATTTTGGCCTTAAACACAGCTAAGTCCCGTTGAAAACAATGGAACAAGTTAATTCCATAAGCCAAGGTTGGCGGAAGGTAGATCTCTACATAGTTTGGACTCCAGCTCTCCAAAGTCCCTGCCAATATGGTCCATGCTCAGGAAAGCTGGGATTTGAAATCCAAAACATCTGGAGGTCTATTTTCTGTTGAATTGAACATACGTTCTACTGCTTTCAATCAGACTTGGTTGCAATTAATCTTACCTGCATCTGAGCCACAGTCCTTTGGCGATCTACAATGCCACAAATTGCAACTCTGTCATCATTGAGCATTAACATATTTATTAATGTCAAACTAAGTCAGAGTAGATATTCCTGAAAGCTGTTATTTTTTATACAGCTTTGAAACTTAATTGCAACCTATCTGAGGACAGAAAAGAGAAAATATTAATTTATATTAGATTTGGAAAAACTGGGTAAACTAGATTATTATTTATAATTCTACATATCAGGTTCATTGATTCAGAATGTGGACATTGAATTTATTTTTTATTTTTTGTAAGTCAAAGAAAATAAATGTATTTTCTTAAAACAATGGTTTCTGGGAAATCTGCCTTTGAACTGAGTTGATAACATGTTTTCTACTGTTACAACGATAAAGCCATCCCGCCTTGGCATGGTTACCACTTTTCCCAACATGCGAATAGAGTCATTGATCATCTACATATATTTATCCACTCAAATACACTTTTACTTTTATTAGGCATTGGGAGAACACTGCAGAATGCAGTCCCATCAAGAAATACATAAACCAGGCTGGCCAGGGAGCAGTTATAGACCTGGCAAAGTTTACACCTGGGCACAGTCAGAAATACTTCTTGACATCAGTTGTGACTTCAAGAAAAAAACCCTATACCTTTGAACTGAGAGAGCGCATTTGAAGTGTTTCCTGAGAAAGACAATCAGGCACTCTTCATACTAACCTTTTTTGTTACAAATGTTGACTTGCAAGGTTGGGGAGTGTAAATCCTTCATTCTTGCTTGCTCACAGCAGGTTTGTATAGGGTTTAGAATCACCCCAGAGACAAAATGACCCCCTTCCCTCAGGCACACAGCATCCACATGTGAATAATTTTGCAGTCAAGGGGAGGTGGAAGTGGATGGCGCCGCCACCCCACCAAATCCAGAATAAGCTTCCTTTTGCATCTGACTTCCAGCCACAGTTGTGGCACCCATGGCACTTGTTTTTTTGCACAAGCAAACAGTTGGATTCAGACCTGTGGGGCAGCTTTAGTAATACAAAGTTATCCAAAGTTTATGGCATTCCTGGAGAAAAGGGATGGGAAGAAAAAATCCTCAAAATAGATTTAGGGCTATGCTTCTTTTCTGCTTCCACTTCTGTATTTTATATCCTAAACCCTTGCCAACGGATGCAGGACTAATGTTCTGTGTGCTGTATGGTTTTGCATTGATTGCATTTTACCAAATTATACACATGCAAAAGAACCGCATGCAACTTTTCAATCTTGGGAATGGTTCCTTGTCTGTTTGGCTCAAAGCTTTTGCTAGAAACATGGTTAAGGGATGATTCATAGTGATCTAATTACATTATAATTTGTTCCTCACCCACTTTCACTGTACTAATGGAACATGGTAATTGGCAATAAAATCGATCTTGTTCCTGCAGTTTTAAGGAAGCCCTTTCCTCCACCATGCTTCGTAGACTAAATGCAGCTATAAATACTTTGGTTCTTTCTCTGCTATTCCCATGTATTTAGCTTGCATGACATGTATTGCAAACACCATTTTTGTATTACAAGAAAAAAACAAGCATTGCTGGAGAGCTTTCTGCATAATTTTTGTTGTTTTGTAAGCTAACCTGCACAGATAGACATCAGCCAGATCCAAAATGAAGGGCTGATGTTGAGGAGACAGGATAATGCTTCAAGATGTAGAGGTTATAAATTTCAGTCTCATCAAATAACAAGCTAAAATTAAACTTAATGGAATGAGAGCTCAGTTTACCTGCTTTGTAATCAAGCTAGAATTACATTTTCATTTAAATAGGGAGATAAGTTGTTATGAGAAAATAATGTTGCTCCAGTCTGGGTATTTCTTGCAAACAGATTCTTAAAGAGCTCATTTCATTCATTCCAAAGGAGCAGCTATTTTTGCAGACATAAAGGAACAATGTATGTTGAAAGATTCTATTGACTTGCCTGTATTTGTATGAGCTCTAGGGAGCTAAAGTGATTTGTCAGAACAAAAAAAAAAAAAATCATCTGTGATAGTGGTACAGGCATCCTCTGAGTGCTTGCTCTTGTGTACAGGCAAATGTGCAGCCCAGGGCAGTTCTTGGATTTCTCCTGCACTTTGTCTCCCGATGATCTACACTAGCATTTAAGTTTATACTTCATCCGTTTTTGAGATCCCTAGAGCACTACATTTCTCAAGCCAGTCAGTGCAGCATGCATAAGATCTCATCATTATGGTAATATCAAAACAAGTGAACATTGTAAAACCAATTTTGCCAGAATCCGTAGTGAGGCACAAAAGGAACATGATGTTGCAGATAATGTGGGCTAAGCTAACGCCACTTTTTGGAAAGCTGTCATCTGTATGCAGCCCTTAAGAGCCTGCCAAAGCCCTTGCACACCTTGATCCTTGTTTGCAGTTACACTGTGCATTTGGCTTATTGCTCACCTGCTTTTCATCTGTGAAAACCTAGCCCTGAAGGGCTTTTTGCCTTAGGGGATGTGCAATAGTTAGCAGCCTGCTTTCACATACAGGTTATAACAAGCAGCAACATGAAAACTTGCTTTGGCTGTTAATAGTGTTTGAGAAGTGTTGACGCCCGATGCTGGTAATCTCTGAAAATATGTGCTGAACTTCCTTGTGATGTTTATATGGATTTGCTGAAAACTCTTCTGTCAAGAACGCTTTGGGTTGTGGTCTGTGGCTTCTCTGAACATACACACTTCTCTTTGCTGAAACTGGATGCCAGTAATCAACTTCACAAAGCAGAAGTTAAATCGCATTGGTGTAGTGTTTCTCTTGCTTTGCCTTCATCACTTTTGCCTTTCTGAGTTTAAACTATTGGTTTTGTTCAATAAATTAAATGCACAATTTAGCAGCGGGATGTATTTCGGAAGTAACAGACTTGAGAGGTCCTTTATTTTCATTGTCAAATTATGGATGAATTTTTCCTACAAAAGTTATGATCAAAGAAAACTTTGAACAAAGCAGATGTATATAAATTGATATTTTATATAAAAATGATAAATGTGTCTGAGTTTATTCTGCCTGGCTGCTCTTGCATGAGCCTATATAGTTGAATTTTCCATTTAGTGTGTTTGGGAGGGGCATCTAGTTAGCTCGATCCACATTTAACCCCTCTTCTGGACCACAGACATAACAAGAAAATAATCCTAAATAAAATCCTAATAAGGCCAGTGAAAAGGAGCTGGTGAATCTCGCAAGGGGAGCAGTCTACACAAAAGGGGGCACTAGTTTCTTTTTTAAAGCCCTGCTTCTCATAAAGGCCAACTTGACCCCAGGAAGTGGTAGCATTTCAGGAGGATCCTTATGAACATAATTCATGGCAAGGCACAACATGCACGAAAAACTACCACAAATTTAGGGTTGCATACTGTTCAGGTAACATACAAACATGTCTAACAATAAATGTGATGCACAGTACAGGCGGTTCTTTAAAGGAATTGGCACAGAGAATGTGTGTAGTTCCACATTACCAGAAGTCACAGGACTTCTGAAAAGAATCTTCCTCCTGAACTGAGAACTTGTGTGTACCCCGTGTCTTTATTCTTACAACTCCCTGCTTGAGCAAACTCTTCCCACATACTTAAAGTATCCCTCCTTCTCTTGAGAGCTCTAGAGCAATATTATGATTGGCTAGCTATGGTTTTCCTAGTTGTAATGTATGGCTGTGAGAGTTTGACCATAAGGAAGGCTGAGCGCCGACGAACTGGTGCCTTTGAATTGTGGTGTTGGAGAAGACTCCTGAGAGTCCCTTGGACTGCGAAGAGATCAAATCAGTCAATCCTAAAGGAACTCAACCCTGACTGCTCGTTAGAAGGTCAGGTACTAAAGCGGAAGCTCAAATACTCTGGCCACCTAATGAGAAGGAAGAACTCATTGGAAAAGGCCCTGAGAACAATTGAAGGCAAAAGGAGAAGGGAATGGCAGAGGTCGAGGTGGCTGGATGGAGTCACTGGGATGGTGTGTGTGGGCTCAGGTGGACTCAAGGGATGGTGGAGGACAGGAGAGTCTGAAGGAATGTTCATGGGGTCGCAAAGAGTCAGGCACGACTTTGCAGCTGAACAACAAGAGCAGCCTTTCTCAACCTGGTGCCCTCCAGATATGGGAGTTGTAGTCCAACATATCTAGAAAACAAATTCATTCTTGCTCTTTTGCAACATAAAGAATGTGAAATAGGAAAAGGGCAGGAGAACTGCCTCTCATCAGTGGACCACAATAGTAGTTTTTAAAGTTGCTGGGCGCACACCCATTGGAGGCAGTGCACCCCCAGAAAGCTGCTCAGCAAACAATGCACAGTTGAAAAGCTGGTGGGTCCCATGGGTGGGCTGCATCACCTCTCCTTTGAGCGAGTGCATCCTTCAGGACTCGGCGCTTCTCACCCCTGTCCAGACTTGAATCCAGCTACTTGTTCCTGCCAACCACCTTTGCTGCACTGCTGGATTTCTGATCATAGGCAATGCAGAAAAATGCTCCAATCGTTATCGTAGAGACATTAGGGCCTTCCCAAAGGGATGGGGGAGTTACATCAAACGCTACCAAGTCACCTCACAGAAGCAGTCATGGGGCTGGAAGGGCCATTTACATTGCTGAGCCCAATCCGCTGGCTCAGTGCAGAAACCCAGTTCAATGCATCCTCAATCAACGACTGACCAGTCTCTGCCGTGATAACTCCAGCAACATTCCAGCAGCTCCTTAAGCAGATGCGTCCATCATCCAACTTTCCCTTCCTATAACTAGTCTGTTATTTTCTGTCCTACATTTTCGGATGGTAACAGGTTCAGCCCCTCTTGTGTGTGACAACCCTTCAGGCATTTGAAAAGAGTTGCTTCAAATGCATCTGAATCTGTCAACATGTTATAAAACCAAAGACAAATCTGCAGCAAGTCTTTGCCCTTCAGGGATACCTCTGATCTTTTGTGAGCTTGCTCGAGTCCCATTTTTCAGCATACCTGGTTATGCGTTCAATTTATATCCCACCATGCTTCTATCCCACAAGGCCAGCTACCTGCCCTTTACAGCTGGTCTCCCTTCAAGCACTATGATGCAGGGCCTGTTTCACTTCAGCAAGATGGCCGCCTCAGGTACCTTCAGGCCACAAACTGAGACACCGCAGGGCAGACTATTTCACTTGATCCCTAATACAAATAAAGAACATGGCAAAACTCATTGTCAGGGAAAAGGACTCCAGGCCTTGAAGACCCTCCAGCCATTCTCAGGAAGAGAGAATGGGAACATATCAAGTGATGTATGTAAAAAAAAAGCAGTTCCAACCTGCTTTCAGTAACTGGGACATTCTGGCAAATGGCATGAGTCCTAGGTTGTCATTGCAAATCACTTCGAGCAGCAGATTTCCTTGGAAAAGAGCATTAAGGAAGTGTGATTTACTCATAGACCAAATAAAAGGGTAAGAAAAAAAACCCAATTTACATAAAATGTGCACATGCAGATAGATACATAGGTACAAGTTTAGAAACAATGAGAATCCTTATATTTTGTTTCTATACAGTCTAATATCCAAACTCTCTGGGTGGTTCACAATAAGAATAAAAACCACAAAAATAGTGAGATAGTATAAAACACTAATATCCAAACTTCAAAACTATTTGAGCAGTTAAAATAATTTCAGTTATTTTAAACAGAGATACAAGACATCTCATCCTATGCATTATGGAGGATGCAATACTGACATTTATGACAATTATTGCATGGGTAACATACATAAAGTTTATGTATGTATGGGTAACATACATAAACATACATAAAACAGATCAAAGTCTTGGACAATTGATATCATGATGACAATGATGAATTTCCTTCTCCTTCTCCCTCCCCTGTTCAGTGGCATTTACTTCTTTGTGCCTTTAGTAAAAGGTAAAGGTAAAGGTTTCCCCTTGACATTAAGTCCAGTCATGCCTGACTCTAGGGGGCAGTGCTCATCTCTGTTTCCTAGCCGAGGGAGCCAGCATTTGTCCGCAGACAGTCTCCGTGGTCACGTGGCCGACATGACTAAACACCGAAGTGCACGGAACGCTGTTACCTGCCCACTGAAGTGGTACCTTTTTCTCTACTTGCTTTTGCATGCTTTCAGACTGCAAGGTTGGCAGGAGCTGGGATGGAGCGACGGGAACTCACCCCGTTGTGCAGATCCGAACCGGTGACCTTTCGATCAACCAGCCCAGCAGCACAGCAGTTTAAACCACTGCGCCACCTGCATCCCTTTAGTACTGCAGCCTAAAAAATATCTCCCAGGCCTCTTGCTTCTCCTTTTCCATTGATGTTACAGGAGGAAAGAGCTACCTGGAAGCATGTGGAGGAGCTGTGGCCTTGCATTCAGAAGGTCTCCAGGTCCAAACTGTAGCATTTCCAGGTAAGGCTGGAAAAAATCCGGCCTGAAGCTCTGGAGAGCTGTTTCTACGCAGTGCTCATTCCGCTGGACTAGCTACCTGGAGCACAGCCACAACCCCTGTGCTAAGTCATGCGGGGCAAGGAGAGATGGGCACAAGACCCCCTTGCCGCCTTCTTGTGGGGTTTTCTACATAAGACATTTATTGTGTGATTATCATTCCCTACGTACAAATTTTTCTAGGTTCTTTACATCACATCGGGATCTTCCCCTTCCACAACTAGCCAGCACTTTCAGAGAGCTTTTTTAATTGCAGGAAAAATGCATTATCCAGCTCTCAAAGCAAAAGGAAGCACAATTTTCCCTTGTGTTGTTGTACTATTCTATTGTACCACACCGCCACCTAAAGGTTATGCATAGGAAAAGAAACACTCCTCAGAGCTCAATTCAGTCACCTGCAGAAAAGCAGATAACAGTGAAAAACTTTGATGTAGCTTATAACTTTTGGGCTTCTACTGCCTTCCTCCTCAATTAGGAGTAAGTGTGTTACTATCTCCCTCCCTAGTTCAGTCACTCTCTTCTCCCAGCTGCCTAGTGTAGAGCTTTGTGTAGCTCCATAGAAATTAATAGAGCACTTCAGTTCCAGGAGAGGAAGTAGGCTTCCCCAAAGTATCTGAGAACATACAATTTAGTCAGGTGCTTAGGATTCTGTTAGGGATCTGTAGCCCCGCCCCTTTGAAAACTACAATTCCCAGAATTCCCTTCAAAGGATTTTGGTTTAAAGGTTCAGGTTTGAGGGCGTAAAGGAGCTTGGGTTTGGTGTGTGGACCTGTTCTGAAGTGAATGAATTTCTGCTGTAGGGCTTTGGGTGTGAAAAAGACAACGTTAGTAACCATCCTTTTTCTGGCCAAATGCATTTGGCTAAAGTGGGGCCATTTTTAAGCCTCTAGTTGCATAGTTGATTCTACTCTTTTCTAATTCCCCATTTCCTGGATGAAAGGCTGATTTAGCATCGTACGCGCCATGGAGCTATCACTGTGGCTCTTCTTCTCTGGATGTTTCTTCAGTCAGTATGGTGAGTACATTTAACACAAAACTGGTCTGCTGCGTTGCGTTTTTCCAGGCCTGGACAGTGGGCTTAGTGGGTCATTTGGGGTGCTTTCTCAAACCTGGAAATGCAGGCCAAGACTGCTGGGCAGCAGCTGGGGTGAGGCTGATCTAATGCTATAGTCATCTGGATTACTACTGTCTGGAGTAGGCAAAGCTTTCTGGTTTTCACGAAAACCTTCCATGCTAGTGCAGCTTGATGCTAAAAACTAGACTGTCTAAAAGGCCTTTCACAACTCTGCAGAGATAAAAGGAGTTGACTCTTCCAAGTTGTAATTGAGGCCACAAAATTATCCATGTTTACCCTGGAGTGAGCCTTATTAAACATAGAAGATATTTCAGAGTAAACATGCATGGTGAGTGTATGTTTGTATGGTCTTTTTAAGGTTGCTTTGGGTTGCCAATCCTTGCCCTGCTTTTAGAAACTAAGCAAGTCAGAAGGGGTCACTTGGGCTATCTAGTCTGACCCCTGGCTCCATTCATGACTTGCCTACCACGTGCGTGTCCAGCCTATCCTTGAATACCCAAGTTTGCTTCTGTGCCTTTAAGCACCAATTGATTTAGCAGAAATTAAGGAGGTCCTTGACTGCCTATCCTTTTAGTTCCATCTCAGTTCACCTGTTAATATTTTGGATGAATGGGTACTATGGAAAACTCAACAGCAAGGCCAAGCAAAGTTGTTGTTGTCCTAAATGCGAATCTATGAAAAAAAAAATATCCATCACATTAGGAATTAGTTCAGACTGCCCAGTGACACAGGGAGCCATAGCATATGATATTCCTACCTTTTTATTTGCCTGTGTGTGTGTATGGGCAGCCACCCGGCCTGGCTTTGAAGGCACACTCTATTTTCCCTTCATGGCTGTTTCTCTGTCAGGGCCGGCCCTACCCTTGGGTAGAATGGGTGGGGGGGGGGGGGGGGGGGGTCACCTTGGGCAGCAGATTCTGGAGGGCAACATTCCACTGTTCTTTGCCCATTGAAGACAGAGCTTGGAGGCCAACTGCCCTGGTCTGCCCCCCAAACTCACCTCCTGCCTCAGGAGAAGAAGGAGACTGTTTCACAGTCAGTATCAAAGTGAGATCCAGCTGGCCACTGTACATGAACCACAAAGGAGGTGCTATTTTGGCCTTGGCCTCAGGCAGGGAAATACCTCAAGTCAGCCCTGTTCTCTGCATCCAGTAATATGACCAAGTGCAGCTTTAAAGCAAACATGCAAATGCTCACAGGTGCAGGGCTTTAAGAGGCTCAAGCAGCCCTGGAAGCAGGCCATCTGGAAAGTGCTCCATCACTTTTTCTGAGTGTATGGCTGGGAAAAATTAAAGAAACACAGATGATATCCCTATGAGAGCCTTCTTTGGCCTGAACTGCTTTGGCCTCCTATAATCTAGACATGAAACGGTTGCCCCTGGTTCAGAGAAACCAAACTTGTAGTGCTCTTTTGCAAAGTCAGCAGTTTGGAGTTTCCTGGCTTGTTTTGTTTCTTATGTACACTGAGGTTAATGGGGATTGCCTTTCTTTATTGATGCTCATGTAAGTCAAATCTATCCAGTTTCATAAGCAGAAACAGGAGGCAAAAACATCTTGCAAGTGAGCTGACATCTATCCCAATTTTCAGAGGTGCATGAGAGATGGATGAGGACCGCCTGAGAATGACCTGACCTAGTCATGCACTGAATGGAGCTATTTCTTCATATGCTAGCATGATTGCTGATTCAGCCAGCCTGACATGACTAGCATCCATTTCTAAAGTGAATTCTGTGGGACATTATCTCAGGAAAATGAGAGGTTGGAAGTTTAGCCTGAATTCACATGGATGTCCATTAACACAGAACAGTTTCTCCAACCTGGTTCCCTGCAGAAATCTTGGACTACAATTCCCACCATTCCCTGTTAGCACAGTTAATGGATGTGCTGGGTAGGGATATGGGAATATTCGTTCAACACATCTGGAGGGAGCCAGGTTGGGGAATGCAGTCTTATGCACAACTGGGGAATGGACACTTTGGTTTTATAGCAGACACGGAGGCAGCTACAAATGCCTGCAGAGCTTAAAGTGGAATATGAAGTCTCCTAGAACAGTGTAAGGCAAGTCATGACAGTTCTGGTGATATTAGCATTTTATCAGGGAAATGTTTGTGGATGCAAGGCTAAGAGGTTGGCTAAAACTCCTGTTTGGTCCCAGTTTTCCCACAGAGGGATATTATGTTTTGCAGCCACCTGCAGTTCAGGATCAGACACAACTAGAGGTGCAGAAGAATTGCAGCCTCTGTCTTCCCAGGAGAGGACCGGGGAGCCTGTCAACCTTACTGCTTCTAGCTCACTGGGCCTGGAGAAACTGAACTTGGGTAACGCTTCCTTTGCTTTGATTGTCCCTTCTAATTGGACAGCTGCAAAATGCTAGTGATGTTTTCTAACTTTGCAAATGACAAGAGGCAATACCTTCTATCATCCACCTTTTTGAGAGGTTAATTTGCTTGTTTTGTACAAAAAAATTACATTATTGTAATTATATGCATATGTAATTAAGGATATACAGTTTTGTGCACTTCTTTTACCCTACAGAAGAAATGAGCCCTGGATATTTTCTGCACTTGAAAATGTCCCTATTTCTGACCCACAGTTGGAAGTTGGTTGCCCTAGGCTGCACTCTCATTTGTCAGGAGGCATACCATGGGCTTTGTCAATGTTAATCCTACTTTGAGTAGACCCATTAAATGAGTGGGAATTAAGTTTCAATTGGGTACCACCCTAATGATAACCTCATTTCTTCTGCATTCAAAAGCGAACACATCTGTGTGTAAAGTTTCTTGAACATCTGTGAGTATTCATTTTCGGCAGATTTGTTCTGTGTTCCCAGCCTGTCTAAGAAATCCACTCAGTTGTAGGAAGGCACACTTCGAAAGCAAGCACACGCGTGCACGTGCATTGGCAGTGGAGGTCACTCGGCAGCTGGGCTGGAACTGGTTTATTTTCCCTGCTTGTGCTTTGTCCGGAGGGAGCGCAGCTGGGGCTGCTTGCGTCATGCTTGGAATGAGTAAGAAGGCTTGGCAGGTAGTGACTGGAGAGAGCAGCCGTCAGACTTCCTTGCCCTGCATTGGTTTCTCCAGCATTCCAGAACCTGGGAAACTGCAGCTGCTTTGACTGTCAGATCCCCAGCTTGCAGGGCCAGCAGCTGGGGGTCCTGGGAGGTGCAGTCCAAAACATCTGGATGTGAGGGAAGACTGTCTCTTCTAACTAGGGTGGCTCTTCCGCATCTCAAGCAGATGCAGTTTTCCCCATTGCTGTTATCTAGCCCCTTTAGGTCAGGGATTGGCAACGTGTGGTTGTCCCGATGTTGTGGAGTGTCTTGCCATTGCATAAGCTGGCCAGGACTAACGGGAGTTGCAAGCCAACCACGGCTGCCAGGCCACAAGGTGCCCACCCTGTTTTAAGTAGAGGTGCTGGGGACTGATCCAGGGTGGTGGTGGTGGTGCTGGGTTGCGAAGTTGTGCCCAGCCCGTCGCGACCCCATGGACAACATTCCTCCAGGCCTTCCCGTCCTCCACCAGCCCCCAGAGTCCACTTAAGCTCACATGCAAAGCACAGGCCCTACTGCTTTGCTGCTGCCCTTCTCAAGGCGCCATAGAAAGAATGCATTAAGATGCAGGTATGGCAAAGGGCTTGACGTGGGTACAGTTGAGGTAAAAGCCGAAAGGACAATCTGGTTTCTTTACTCTTCCCTTGAACTATGGTAGAGGCATCCTTCCCACATAGTCTAAAATCCTCCAGAGCAGAGACCTGTATCTTCTTCTTCTTTCTGTTAATTGACTCAGGAGCTTTTTGGGAGATCGTAGTACATCACCCTTAACCGCCTATTATAGTCCAGTCCTAATTATCTTCAATTGGAAGGAAGGCCCTCTGATTTCCACTGGGTCTGTTCACATGTAGAAGAGCAGAGAGTTGCAGCCTCAGGATCTCAGTTTGTTTTCCATGATTGTGCATCTTGCAGGAGTGAAATGTGGAGTCCCTTCTCTGGAACTGGGGAGCCAGGAGGATTATTGGCCCTATGAATTCTTTTCAAGAATTGTTGGAGGGAGGACGGCTGTTCCTGGTGGACAACCATGGCAGGTCTGTGCTGAGATGTGCTTGTCGGAATTAGGTGCTATAGGCCAGATGAGCTGTTTGAACTCTGGACACTCACCCCAGGTCACCTGCTCCACTGTTCATCCAGCCATGGAAATGAATAATGCAACAGCTCATGCAGCATGAATAAGTACACATTAACAGAAGTTACTTATTGTTGTTTCTGGCAAGGATATACCATGCCTACAAATTGGTATCGTAGTTCTGTAATGTGCCAGAGTGTTCAGTAGCCGACTTAATCAAGGGGGACAGCAAAGACATTTCTGCCCTGAAAGCACCATCTTGCCATGATCTGGCCCACCATGTTCTCTTGGAGCGAATGTTTCCCCAACCCTCCAGCACATGCAGAGTTTCATTGTAGGGGTCTTGCAACAGGGTAAGCGTGGGCCCTCCGTGGTCCTCCAGATGCTGTTTTACAACTTCCATTGGCCTTAGTCAACATAATTCTGGTAATGTCCAAAATAGATTACTGTAATGTGCTCTATGTGGGGCTGCCCTTGAAGCCAGTCCATTAATTAGAATTGGTACGGAATAGGGCTACTCGGTTGGCGATGGGAGCCTCTAGAGCGGCCCACATAACACCTATAATGAAAGATCTTCATTGGTTACCGATTGTGGTTTGGGCCCAATTCAAGGTGCTTGTCTTGACATATAAAGCCCTAAACGGCTGAGACCCCAGTTATCTTAGGGAGCACCTGCACCCGTATGTGCTACCCGGCCTTTGAGATCTACACAGGGGCCCTCCTGTGTGAGCCATCCCTTGAGGAGGTGAGAGGGCTGGCCGCTAGGAGGAGGGCCTTTTCTGCAGCTGCTCCCCACATCTGGAATGCTCTCCCCAAGGAGGGTCACTTGGTACCTTCCTTGCGTTCTTTTCATCACCAGGCAAAGACCTTCCTTTTTAAAAAATATTTTAATAACTAATTGCCATAGACCTTTGTTGTGTATGTTTTACTGTGTTTTATCGGTTCAATGTGTAATATGTTATGTTTGTATTATGTCTTATGGTGTTTTTATCTTGTGTTGCGAGCCACCCAGAGGTGCTGTGGTACAATTGGGTGGCATACGACTGTTTTAAATAAACATTGTATTGTTTATTTAAAACATTTATTTAAAACATCGTTTTACATAAAAATGTTTTAAACTCATTGCGAGGGATGGGGAGAATGGTGGACTAAACCACCTGGAAGGCATCGGACTTGGGCCCTCCCGCAGCATGCACGGTCCTCTTCGTTAAAATATATTGGAATTGCAGCAACATCTGACCTTGATGCTGCTTGTGCAATTTCAGAGCTCTATGCACTCCAGCACAGCCACCCGCAGCTGAGTACCCTCCAGATATTTTGGACTACAAATTCCACTGTCCCCAGCCAGCATGGCCGTTGACTGTGGATGACTGGACTTGCATTCCAACACAGCTGAAGTAGAGAGTACCAAGTTGAGGAAGGCTTTCTGGGATGCTTCTTTTGGAGCTCAGTTGCAGCATCCCTCACAGCTGATTTATATATTCAGAAGCCTCCATGTGATACAGGCACTTTGAAGAATCTGCAGCTTCATCTCTTTTTGATTCCTCCCCAACATAATCTCCTTGCACACAGAAAGCTAGCTTATCAGGGAGAAATCTAGTGGCAAAGCAGGTGGGCTCAAATTCCAAAAATGCCAGTGTAGGGTAGCCGGAAGCTCTTTCTGTCGGTAACTCTGCTTTAGGAGAGGTGTGGTGGCCTTTAAAACCGGGAGAAACCACATGTGAAAGCTGGGGAAACACCACATGTGGGAAAGGGGCCATCACCGCCTGGAGAATCCTGGTGGGACTGATGCCAGGGCCTTGCCCTTGATCCGGAGGCTTCAAGTGGGCGGGCTGCCGTGTGATGGCCACTGCAGGCAGCGGTGCAGAGCGGTTCTTGAGGAGCTTGGCTTTCGGTTTCTCCCTCCTGCCTCTAAATAGGTATCCATCAAGTTGGGCCATTCCCACTTCTGCGGAGGCAGCTTGATCCGCGACGATGTGGTGGTTACCGCGGCTCACTGCGTCGTGGACCTGGACCTGTGAGTAGTGCGAAACGCTCCTGTGGAAGGAGCATGCAGTGACTTCAGCAGGCCTGTTCAATGGGCTGCCATGCAGGTGGGCCAGACTGCCCACCTGGGAAAGGTGGCAGCAGGTGGCAAAACCGCTTGCATGAGTAATTCCTGGAGGAAAGGGCAGAGCTGGGTGTTGGAGCACCGAGGGAGGACCAGGGTTCAATCCCAGACAGGCATTTCCAGGAAGGGCGGGCAGAACCTGCCTGAGACCCTGATGAGTCGCTTTCCCACTTGTTGGACTGACCCGTACTTCTGCTGGTGTCAGCTGCGTTACATGCTTAGCTCCAACAGGTTCATCCTAGCAGGGCTGCTACTTTCAAGATGCATCTTTGGATTCTTATGGACAAATTATGTCTTTGCTGCTGCTTATTTTGGATGGCAGCAAATCTCCAGGTTCCCTGGGACCTTTCCCGGGTGTGCTGCATTGGATGATTCGATAGGAAATATTAAACTGATGGCCATCATGAAAAGATCCATGGACTAAGCCATGTTCCCCTCCCCCCCCGCCGCCCCTTGACATCACCCTTTTTCTGGCAGTAAAGTGGTGAAGAATTTGATTGTGACGGCTGGGGAATACAGCCTTGGAACAATGGATGATGAAGAACAGAACATCCCTGTCTCGAAAATAATTGTCCATCCTGCGTTTGACAGATTTGGATATATGGATTCAGATATAGCACTCCTATATCTGAATCACAGAATTAAATATGGTAAGTAGAAGATTTGCTCAGTAATGGTTGCACCAGAGAAAGGTGGTATTTGGGTACCTGTGATCTTTTTACCATCTGTACCTCATAATGTTGTCTACTTTAAAAAAAATAATCCCACTCTTCAATGCTAAAGATGCCTCCTGGAGAGCTTACAACAACCAATACAAAGCCCCCCCCCCCCCGTGCAAAATCTACCTGCCTAGAGGCATTCCTGGCACAATCAGATCAAGAGAGAGATTCTTTTCGCTGTTTCATGGCTATCCCATACCATGCAATCTGGGGCATCTTGTAAGAAGCAGGGATGTTGTCATACAGCCTCCACCATCTTGGTGCTCAGCATCATGGCTGAGGATGATGGGAGATGCCATCCAGTACTTCAGGAGGGGGCCAGGCCAGGGAGTCTGTCCTGGCCTCAGGTGTCCTTGTTGATGTATCAGGTTACCTGCTGGTGAATTGTGGAATCCCAGAGTGGGAAGGGATCAGTGAGATCACTGGGCACAACCTCCTGCTCTGTCCTGGGTTCCCTTCCACCCAGAGCAGATGTTCGACAGGAGCTCTGTGATCCCTTACTGTGGAAACACGCAGAAGGAGGATTCTGCCAGGTTCAAGGGAAACTCTGGCTTCTGAATTCTATCAAGTTCTTTCCCCTGCAAGTTCTGGTAGTTGCTTTTGTCTTAGCTTGCTGGTAAGCCTCACCTAGCACAGATCCCTGCAGGGGAGAAGGGGCACCAAAAGCTCTTGAAGGTGTGCCCTCCAGAGGCATTGGGCCTGATGCTTTCCAGAGCCTTCAGCGTGGCAGTGCTGGGATTTGTAGCCCTGCCTATTTGGAGAGCACCAATTGAGGAAGGCCATCCTGTGTGAAGGAAAGTTTCCTGACACTTTATGGGCGATATTAGATAGGCCACCTTTGTATAGATGCTCCTGTCTGTGTTTCAAACTAGCACTGGAAAACTGAGACATGTCATGTTCAGTGTGAGAAGCTGGACTCTTGGTCCATCCACCCCAGTATTGTCATTTTCATGGCTTTACATGGTCCCTCTCCCTCATCCTTCCATCTGGAGACACTGATTGAACCTGGACATTCTGGGTGCAAAGCTGGTGATCTGCCCCTAATCTCTGGTTCCTACTCATTGTAGGAGACATTCAGAGGAATGCTATGCACTTAATACTTGGCTTTGCTCACTTTCCCTTCCTCAGGAAATGAAGTGCAGCCGATCTGTCTTCCACACAAAGGGGAGCTATTTGAAGCGGGGACACTGTGTGTGGTGAGCGGATGGGGCCGGGTCTCTGAAGGTAAGTCAGAACAGCATTTGGAAGAGGGAAAGGATGGTGTTGGTGGAGGGGTTCACTTTAGCTTGCTAGAATTGGAACAATAATAAAGATTGCCACCCTTTGCAAGTTTAGGCAGAAGAAAGGTCTGTAGTCCCATGCCCCAGCTGGGAATTGCAGGCTGTTTTTTCTATCTAAACTTGTTCAGGACTGTGCTTTTAAACATTTTATTAACATCATAAGAATTCCATAGTCTGTCTCTCCCTCTCCCTCTCCCTCTCCCTCTCCCTCTCCCTCTCCCTCACTCACACACACACACACACACACAATTTAAGATCAATTTCATCAATAAAGGCTCTGTCTTTCAATAAACCAACCTTCCTTCCTTCCTTCCTTCCTTCCTTCCTTCCTTCCATCCATAACTCTCACCATTGTTTGTTAATGAGTGTTAAGTGCTGCATCTTCAACTCTGAAAGGCTGCCCAACAATGACAGCAGGAATTAGATAACTGTACCTTGACTGTACCTTGCTCTGCATTCTGACTGGTGATGCTAAATGGAAAAGCAAGGTGGGGGTGTGCACATAAGACTGAAAGCAATGCAAGAGAGCAAGCTTAGATGGGCACATGGTGGGCTGCTGGCCCCCTCTCCCCGCTTGGCCCTCCTGTGAGTACCCTTAGCCTCCCAAGCAAGCCTCTTCCCTTGCGTTGCCACCACAAGCGAGGGATCTTTTATCCCTGTGGCGAGACCCTCATCTCCCTTCCCCTTTTGATCCAGGACTGGTAGGAGAATTGGAAGTCAAAGCAGATTTATGTTCCAAGAATAGACAAGATGGCAATGCAATAAATCCAGGCTGTTAGCACTTTGGTGGGTGGGAGAGCTTCCCTTCATTAGAGAATGGTCATATTTTTGTAAGAATTTATAATAAGAATATTATTATAATTGTAAAATGCACATGATTTTTTAAAACTAGAACATTAATGTTCCTCTTATCCTTTCTAAAACACCTGCCAAATAAAAAACTTGGATACTTAATGAGGCCATGTGGGCTAGCAGCTTGGAATGCTTCAGATGAAACTGAGGTTCCAAAGTTCTGCTGCCCCACTTGGAGGCTCACTGGGAAAGGCCTTTCAGCAGCGGCTTGGCTCCCTCTCTCTGCAGCTGGTGCTCTGTCTGATGTCCTGCAGGAAGTCGAGCTGCCTATCATCGATGACGTAACTTGCAGTGATCTCCTGAAAGCTCTGAATTTGCCTCCAATACAGAGTTCCATGCTCTGTGCTGGGTTTCCTGATGGTGGAAAGGATGCATGCAAGGTAGGAAGTGCCCCTTGGAGGACTTAAAATGGCTCTGGAAGGCAACTGACTGAAATGACAGCTTCCTGCAAGTTCCCATTCCTGTTGTAGCTCCTAACCTGGAGCTCAGGAGATTCTTTAAGTTTACAGGGAGGATCCGTAGCTCAACAGTAGAGGCACCTTGTTTGGCCTACCTGGCTTCTCCAGGTAGGGCTAAGAAAGAAATCCTGCTTGAAAGCCTTAGAAACCTTCTGGAACTGCTTAGAATTGGAGAAGATAGACCAAGGGTCTAGACAGCTTTCTGTGGGCAGACTTCAGGCTAGGTTTGAATGGCACATTTGCTCTCTTGTGTTTTGAAACTGGAACTACGCAAGCTGCAGCTCCTGGAGCCAAATATGGAAATGGGTGCACTTTGCATGTGGGAAGGCCAAATATTCCCAGGCTTATGATGTGTTCTGTATAAGAAACACAAAGGCATCCAGCAGCAAATTTGAAAAATGGACAAAACCCAGTGCATGTGTATAAAATAGAAGGTGGACTTAGAATTAAAGAATTGCAGAATGAGACCTTTGTGTTGTGGCCCAGAGCTGAGCGGTGCTTACAGTCTCTCTACAGGCAAATCTGTGCTTCGAGTGGCATTAATCTCAGCAGCATCATTTGCGGGCAGGATGGTGGGTCGTTTTGTTGTTACTATTGCTAAATTTGGAAATCAGTCAAGAAACCCTTCCTGATCTGCTTGGAAACACCCAGGTTCCAGAGGGAAAAAGTGGCCAAGGAAGGAGGACATCCTAAGATTTCTTTCCAGAGAAATAATTCAAAAGCTTATGTGTCTTTAATGGTGTGCAAGGTTTGCTTTGTTGGCAAGAGATGTGGAGATACTCCGTGTGCGACTCTTTTGCGGCAGGTTGTGTTACACTCTTGTGCTATGCTGTCTTGCATCAGGGTGATTCGGGAGGCCCTCTGGCATGCCGAAGAGCCAGTGGCACTTGGGCTCTGGCAGGTGTCACATCGTGGGGCATCGGCTGTGGAAAAGGCTGGCTTACTAACGAGACAAGGAATGGTGGCCGCGGTTCCCCAGGCATCTTCTCAAAAGTAGACAAGCTCCTGGACTTCATTGCCCAGAATATGCCCACGGGTGAGTACAGGCATCAGCGATCTTTCTTCCACCATATTTTTAAAATTCCACAGTGTAGCAGAATTGCTTCATCCTTTTCTTCCCAAGTCAAGTTGCAGACCCCCTTTTCTTTTTCCTCACTTATTTATTACATTTCTATCCCAAATTTATTTATTTAATGCTACCTGTACACCGGCCAACAGCCAAAGCTCTTTTTCTTACAAGGAGCCCAAGGCAGCTTAGGCAGTTCTTTTTCGCTCCATTTTTTCTCTGAACTGCCCTGTAAAGTAGGTTAGGCTGGCCCAACGTTACCCAGGAGGACTAGAACCTGGATCACCCAAGTTCCAGTCCAACACTTTAACCAATACACTAAGCTGGCCTCTTTTGGGCAGCTGCCTCTTATGAAAACCTGTTGCTCTTGGATTTTGTCTCTTTGTTGTAGTAGTAGTAGTTGTTAGTTGTTGTTAGTTGTTGTCGCGAAGTCATGTCTGACCCATTGCAACCCCATGGACAACATTCCTCCAGGCCCTCCTGTCCTCCACCAACCCCCAGAGTCCACTTAAGCTCACACCAACTGCTTCAGTGACTCCATCCAGCCACCTCATTCTCCGCTGTCCCCTTATTCTTTTGCCATCTATTGTTCCCAGCATTAGGCTCTTCTCCAGGGAGTCCTTCCTTCTCATTAGGTGGCCAGAGTATTTGAGTTTCATCTTCACTATCTGGCCTTCTAAAGAGCAGTCAGAGTTGATCTCCTCTAGGACTGACCGGTTTGATCACCTTGCTGTCCAAGGGACTCGCAGGAGTCTCTGCCAGTACCACAATTCAAAGGCCTCAATTCTTCGGCGCTCAGCCTTCCTTATGGTCCAGCTTTCACAGCCATACATTGCAACTGGGAAAACCATAGCCTTGACTATATGCACTTTTGTTGTCAGGGTGATGTCTCTGCTTTTTAGTATGCTGTCTAGATTTGCCATAGCTTTCCTCCCCAGGAGCAAGCGTCTTTTAATTTCTTGGCTGCAGTCCCTGTCTGCGGTGATTAAGAAGAGCTGGAAGATATTGCTATTTATTTAAACATTTATATGCTGCCTATTTCACCATGGCATCTCTAGGCGGCTAACAACAGATTATTAAAATACTTTATAAAACAATAGCATAAATTAATATATGCAGATGAGCTTGATTTTTATAGCCACAGAATCATTTTGTGAAAATCCCTTCTTCTGATCCCACAGTTCGGTAGACAGTTATTTATGTTGGTTGGCCAGCAATGGAAAATTCTGCATTGACCATGATGGTTCATGGCACTGGGTCATTCGCAAGATCAAAGCTCTGTTCCAAAGGTGGCCCATTATGAGGAACAGCCTTCCCCAGATGGGTTGGGCTACAGTTCCCAAATGCTGATTGGAGGATTCTGGGAGTTGTAGTCCAATACATTTGGAGTGTGCCAGGGTGGGGAATGTTGATCCAGGATGCACCTTTGCACACATTTGGTGCAGTTGTAAAAACTGTGCAGAAGTAGCTGAATTTTTGTGCTGTTGATGATTAGGAACTTCCATCTTTTTACTGTTTTCCATTGGAAAAACTCTGGGAGGTGCTGACACACTGTGAGTGATCAAGCCAGATTCTTGTGCAGCTGGAAATAATGCACAATTCTTAGAGGCAGGGTGAGAAACCTTCATGGCATCTTTTCCTTTCTGTTCAGCCTCTGGTCCAAGCGACCTGTCCCTCCCCAGCCCGGAAGACTGCAACTCCCATGGCAAGCTGGTGTTTGGAGAAAGTGGGCATATCCGGCACCCCCACCAGATCGGGGAGAGTTATCTGGACAACAGGTACTTGTTGTAGCTCAGACCATCGGTTCTGCTGACTGGGCAGGCTACACCCTGGTGCCTGCCAAGGTGCAAGGAGGACTCGTAATTAACATTAAAGCAGCAGAACATTAAAGAGCTAAACAAGATCACCAGGGAGGCAGGTGTCTGGGGGTTTCTTATCTCCTGCAGCTTTTCTTTTGAGCTTTCTAGGAGTTATCCATGGCGGTCAGCCTACTTCGGTGATGGAGTTCATCCCTATGGGTGCCTCCTGCAGTAGAAAGCTCAGAAGAAAGGTGGCAGTGGATCAGTCACCAGCCTCCCCAGGATTGCTCCTCCCTGCCTTGTCGTGATATCATGTGATACCCTTTTGCTTTGGTGACACTTTCAGCGCTTCCAAGGGTGGCTAAATTTTAGGCTGTTTAAATGTGAACACTGGTGCTGGGTAGAGGATGACAGCAAGAGAGAAATACTGGCTGCATGCACCTTCACCGAAAAGGATATTTTTCCCTTTGCCTGGGTTGCTATGATGAGGGTTTGTCAAAAAGCTTCCGCACTTTTTAAAACTCTAAGAATTTCAAAAACAAATTACATCACTTTTCTACATAGTCACCTTCCTTTGCGATACATTTTTCACAGCATTGTACCAATGCTTTAATGTCATCAGCAAAAAAAAATAGAAATAAAATATTTATAAAACATAAAAGTGTGGAAACTTTTTGAAGACCCCAGCCTGCCTTTCTTCCTCTTGCCAGTAACTGGAGGCAGATTAGAAGGTTCTCCTCCTCCCCATTTCATCCTCCAAACAACAACCCTGTGAGGTGGGTTGGGTTGAGAGGCAGTGATTATCCAAAGTCACCCAGTGAGCTTTGTAGCTGAGTGGGAACTAGAACCCAGTTCTCTTGAATTTCCTCACAGTCAGAGCAGTATGACAAATAACCTACTACCTGGGGAAGTTGTGGGCTCTTTCTCATGAGAGACATTCAGGAAACATCCGGACCGTCATCTGAATGGGATGGTATAACTTAGAGTCCTGCAATAGCAGGGGGCTGAACCCAATGGCCTTCTGGCTCCTTCCAACTCTGCTCTTCTATGATTCTGTGAATTCCAGTCCTGCACTCACAACCAACACTGACTCCTGCCTGGGAGCCTGGCTAAGGGAAAAGCAAATGTGTGGGTCTGTGTCTGCCTTTCAGTAGGAATTAGTGATAAGTATAGATTGTGCAACCCCTCCTGTTCTCCCGTGCCCCCTTGCATCAGCACAACCCGGCAAAAGCTAACCAGGGGCCCCATGTTTGCCGAGATAAGCTTCGTTCTGGCTATGCTGCCGACCCCTTGACATTGCATCCCAGCAGCATTTCAGAGTCCTCTGTCTTTGGCAGGCTTCTGATTTTCCTGCCCCTACAGGCTGCACTGGCAGCTAAAGCCTGTAGCCCTCGCTCAGCCTCTAGCCACTGGTCAGGGCTTGCGGCTCATGGGGGACGAACATGCAGAGCCTTTGGCCAAGACGGCTCGTGGCAATTCAGTGCTCTTACCCCGTGGTGCAATGCATCAGCATCACGACTTATCTTGGCATCTCTGTCTGATGGTTTGCTGTGCTTTCTTCCAGCCTGTGCACCTGGAATATAACTGTGCCGGAAGACAAATTCATACTTGTGCAGTTTATCCGGGTAGATATAGAAGATCAAGTTGGGTGCGACCGTGACTATGTGACTTTCTGTTCGAGTGAGAAGGAGCTTGTAGGTATGTTCTACTGTCTTGTTCCTCATTCCTCCTCCTCTGCAGTTAATCCTCACAACACTCCTGTGAGGTAGGCTAGGCTGAAACAGAGTAACCATTCCAAAGTCACCTGTCAAGCTTCACAGGTGGGTGCAGGATATAAGATCCTGAAGACTGGGAATGGATGTGGCCAGTGGTTGGGTACAATGAGAATTGTAGTCCAAGAACATCTGGCAGACACAAGTTCTGTACCCTGCACTGGACTGTCCTTCACAATCTTGCATTTAGTATTTATTTTATTTATTCATTAAAAGATTTTCTGTCCCATCCACTACAAACGTCCCGGAAAAGCTTACAATTCAGTACACTGCCTGTGAGCGTCTGTGTTAATTTAATGGCACCTCTTGAATCCATTCTCTCCCCCATTTCCAGGCAAAATCTGTGGCAAGGTGCTGCCATCTCCTCTGTTGGTGGAGTCTAACCAAGCCATCGTTACATTTGTGTCTGATGGTAGCAATACCGGCGAAGGCTTTGAATTCACTTTCAGTGCCGTGCATAAGGCATCTGAGGCAGGTAACTCCATGCAGGGATCTCCTTGGCATGTCCTGACCTGCTGGGGTTGCCCAGATGAGCTCCACTGGACATGAAAGGGGGAGCCAACGACTGTGCCACCCCAAGGCAGGCAGGTGTGCCATCTCCTCTTAACCACGGCGGCAATAATAGCTCTCCGTGTCAAAGCAAAAAGACATTCTGGAAACAGCGTGGAACAGTTTGTTTTCCTTTGGACTGAGAATACTTTTCTAATATTTTGGGTTTGGTGTCTTGTGAGCAGAGTGGAAGCAAACAAGCATTCCTAAAGCACAGATTCCCAGGCAGGGATGGGTTCCTTGAAATTTCCTTGGATGCTTCTAGATGGGGCTTTTGGTGCTTCCAGATGGGGCTTTTGTTGTGCAGTTGCCCTCACTCATTCCTGGAGTGCTCTGGGCAGGAATGTGCACTTCAGACAGGATTGTCTTCTCTTGTCGGCATCTCCCTTGTAATGCCGGCACCAAGTGACCTGGCCTGCTGCTTAAACAGAGATGCAAAGACCGGCAGCTGATTGCAAAAGAGGGTTTCTTTCTCTTGGACCTGGGCAAGGTGGCGTCAGTGTGGCCCGTCTGAGTGGGTCACTCCAGGCCAGCTGTAACAACAACCCTTCTGTGCCTTGCTGCCACTTGCATCTTTTTCCCATTACCACAGCAGTCAGAATACCTGCAAAATAGATAGTCTTAGGAGCTCTCCATCTGCAAGCACCCTTAAAAATCCACTCAATGAAAGACAATCCATCTCCTTTTGAAGATATATTCATCCCTCTGTCACTCTTCCTTTTAGAACCTATAAAAGCTTTGTCTGAAATGGCAGCTTTGAATGTCCCCTTCCAATTTTGTAGGTTCTGGCTGTGGCAGTGTTGCAGTTCTGGTGGATGAAGGAAAGATTGACACGGCTAATTACCCGGGCTTGTATCCCAGCAATACCAAATGCCACTGGCTTATTGAGGCCCCAGCAGAGCATGTCATAAAGGTGACAAAAAGCCATTTTGTTTCGGGAACGTGTTTTGCAGACTGCCATGCCTGTGGCGTGACCTTTGGGTGGTGAATGCTGCCATCTCTCCTTCCAGCTGGAGTTTGAGGACTTTGCTGTTGAAACCAGCCAGGATTGTATTTATGATGCCGTTGTCATCCATGGTGACATGGAAGAGGAACACCAGCTAGGTAGTATCAGGTTTGGTTCAATGGGATGCCATGGGCACTTGGAAGATGAAAAAACTGTTCTGTACTCATCCATAATGCATGTGTGCATACACACACACTGCAGGTAGATCATATAATATAATCAGGAAAACGTTATTTGGTCTCCCAGCAATACCTCTTTTTCCTTGGAACAGTAGCTCCTGATCCCATGTCCCCAGATGTGGTTGGACCACCACTAACATTGGCCATGCTACCTGGGAATGGTGGCTAGTTAGTCCAACAACATTTGAGGAGCCAAAGTTGGGGAAAGATGTATAATGAGCAAGGGGTGTAATGAGCTGGAGGGTCCTAATATCCATTCGGCAGAGAGACCCCTGTTTCTCCATCCGAAAGGGGCCATTCCATCTCTGAATCTTTCCCTCCTTGATGTTCGTCACTCATTACAAATGCAGGCAAGTGCACAGTGGTGGAGAAGAAAGCTTTGGAAGAGGATCTGTGTTGTAACACCTGCCTCCTTTACCTCCCCCAAGTGAGGCGATTGGCCAAGGTGCTTGAAATGGCAAGCTGAGGAACCACCTCAGCAGTGGTTCTGAATCTGCTAGTTCTCCCACCTGTGAGCATTCTGGCCATGACTCCAGCATGCGGGAACTGCTGGTTCGCCAGACGTGGTTGGACTCTCAGCTCTCATCAACCCCTTGCTAATGTGGAATGAGTCCTGCAACATCTGGGGTGGCCAGAGCTTGGCCATCCCTGCACTGTAGAGGCTTGCTATGCATTTGGAGATGATGAGCAGAATCTGTGTTGGATGGAAGAAGGAGCAGGAAGAAGGGAAGAGGGAAGGAATGCGGAAGGTGTGGCCAACCTTGGGGCTTGGCCAGGCAGGCACCTGTAATGCTAGACCCTTAGGACTTGTCCCCCACCTGTCGTGGACCTCTTCCCTCCATCCCATGCCAGGGACAGGAAAACCTCTCTGCTCCTTTCTTCTCCGCAGCTCTCCTCTGTGGCTTCTCGATTCCTTCCCCTGTTTGGAGCTCTGGGGACGTCATGCTGATACACTTTGAGAGCGATGGGGAGAATAACTTCCGAGGATTCAAGGCCCGCTTCAGCTTTTTCCCCTCAGGTTGGCTGGGCACCGTCCCTCGGCACTCACCCCTCTTCCATATGGGCAGCGGTGGCTGCTCTGTCAAAGAACTGCCTTTCTCTGCAGCTGTGGCCTGTGGAGAGGAGGAGACGTGAGAAGGGCTCCCTGAGCTTAGAGGCTACTGGGCTGCAACTCGCCTCGGCTTCCATGGCCACAGGGCGGGGAGGGCCGGAGGTTCGCCATCCCTGGCATGGATGACCCAAGCAGTCTTTTGGGGCAGCCATGCTTTGATGGTGACTTTGCCATCACTGTCTTTGAGTTCCACGTGGAATTCAGCAGGCAATTCTAAGCATGACTGGAATGAGCGCATTTGTGCATGCAGGTGTGAGAGAGAGACCTGCTCTTCTTGAGAGTCTAAATTGACTCATAATCTTGGCTGCTCCTTATTGCATCATTCCATCATTTTTAACTGCGCTGCCCTCAAAGTTTGATCTATTTCTTGTCCAAGTCAATGGACTTTGAAATTGCCTCTCAGGCAGAGCTGTGCAGACAGTCCCCAGGGGAGCTTGTTAGGGTTCCAGGAAACTATGGAACAAGCTTGGAAGTCCGAGTCCTGTTTGGATGAGGGTGGGGAGCTGGGCCATCCATAAGCCTTGCGTGACCAAGATTTCCGAGGAGAAAGATCACCAACTCACACATTACAAGCTCAAGTACATTTGGACTTGGAAGCAGGTAGCTCTGGGCTTGAGGGATGGTGCTGTTTTCAGGAACCATAATTGCCCTGGAATCCTTGTAGCGTTGCATAATATGCTGGGGTTGGGGAGTTTAGCTGCATCAGGTGGTAAAATAACTCAGGATGGTCCAACCACCTCCATGTTGTGCTAAGCTGTCATTTCACTTATTTCCAACAGAAACTTCTGAAGCAGACTTTGCAGGGCCTGTTGTCATGCAGTCATCTGATCCAAGGACTATTCCTGTGGGTAAGCTGGGATTTAAAGCAGTATTTGTCCCTCAGTAGCCCAACAAAAGCAGGACAGACACTAGAACCAAACAGGTGCTGAGAACTTGACTTTAGTGCAAATACTTTCAGTGGGATTGACTTCAGGGTGTTGGTGAGGCTTTTGCTGCACAACTTCTCTGCCTGATTTGCAGGATTGTATGCAAGATCCGAGTGCTGTTAGGGTCCCTGCGCAATCCCCCCTCGCTTGCCACTGCTACGGCTTTATTCAGAAGGTCATACGGAGCTGCGTGTTGCTTCACAGGCAAAGGTTGAGGCTCTGCTTGACAGACCAAAGCGGAAGCCATGCTGGGGATTCCTAGGGAGGAGTGAGAATTTGGCTTCAGTTCTCTTTTGATAAGGATTTACCCAAATGCATAAAGTTCTTTATATCTGGAAGAGAGAGAACTTCAGATCTTAAAAATATCAGTGTGAGAGAAAGATAAATTGACAGATTCACCCTTCTCTAAGAACGCCATCAGTCGTACTCAGCCTGGGACCGTTTCCCCTCACTATGCAAGGATAGCAACTGGTGTGTCCTCCTTTAAGGGGGAAGCCTTAAACCGTCAGATGTTGGAAAGGGCTAAGTGGGCCTTGGAGTGGTGCTTGGGCCATCTAAAACGCCCTGCTTTCCCCCATGACAACTGGGACAGAGAGACACGAGTTCGATAAACATGCACAAAACACTGTATTGATAACAAAATTCTACTTTCCTTGGTAAGGATATAGCTTCCCCGACCTGATACATGCCATATGTCTTGGATTACAACTCCTAGTTGTCAGGCTGGGGATGGTGGGACTTGTAGTCCACCATGTCTGGACGCTATTGGGCTGGAGAAGGCTCAGGCTGGTGTGCGCTTCTAGCACACAGCCCTGCCTTGAGTTCCCCAGGCCAGGGTGGAAAAGCTCTCTTCTCCAGCTGCAGCCTGATGTGCCGTCTTCGAAAGATGAAGTCAGGGGGCTCCCTCTAGCTTTTGGGCTGCTGCTCTTTTGCAGATGTTTGTGGATCTCCCCCCTTCGTCCCTCAGTGGCTGTCCAGACACGTCTCTGGGGGAGAGGAAGCCTGTCCGCATTGCTGGCCGTGGCACGTGGGATTGCACTTCTTGGGTGACTACCGGTGTGGAGGTGTCATCGTTGGCCCAACATGGGTGCTCACAGCTGCACACTGTGTCCATATGTGAGTATGTCAGACTGCCAAAGTGCCCGTTTTATTTTTATTTATTTATTAATTAAAACATTTCTATGCCGCCCCATTCGCCGAAGCCTCGGGGCAGCTCACAACATAAATTAAAATACAAGAAATAACAATATAAAAAGCATAGAAGTTGCTTTCAGTACCGCAAGAACATAGTAGGCAGCCTGGTTTTCTTCAGATGCTTTGAAGGCCTTTGACTCCCCAGATCTCAGATCATTAGCCACACTGGGCTAGGGCTGATAAGGAGCGAAACCCAAACCACCTGGAGTGCACCAGGCTGCCAACCCCTGTTGTACACGGGGAGTTGCAAGACAGATAGCTCCTTGTGCTAGCAGTCAGGAAGCATTGTGGAGCTATTCTGCCTGTCCTTCCGTGGATTCTGACCCGGTAAGCAAAAAGCAGAAGGGAGTGGTGGGAAAACATGGGGGGGGGGCTACGAATGGGAGCTGACTGTGCTGGAACCCTCCACTGGTTCCCACCTGTAGAATTCCATGAACAAGGCACAATAAAAGCCTTGTCCCAAACAACCCACAGTTGTCTTTGGATCTGGGCCAAGGACCATGTCCAAATCCACACAAGGCTATGTAACATTTTGGGTGAGTTCTGCAGCGGTTGCAGCATGGAGTGGCTATGAAGATAAGCAAGAATTCTCTGTACCTGTACAAAACTTAAGTGTCCCAGAATTAGTGCAGAAAGCCTGGATAGTAAAAACCCTTTGTTGGTACTCTGTCTGAGACTGCAGATTGCAAGGGTCGTGACAGCACACCTGTTTCTTCTAGAACGAATGAAGCTCTGCATTGGACTGTTGTTGCTGGAGACCATGATCAAATACTGAAGGAGCCAACAGAGCAGGTAGAGGCCAAGCAGAAGCATGTTTCTCTTCCTTCTGTAGTTCAGTGGCAGAATGTGTGTTTTGCACGCAGAAGGCCCCAGGTTCAATCCTCAGCATCTCCGGGGGCGCTGGGAAAGACCTTTGCCCAAAGCCCTGGGCAGCTGCTGCCAGTCAGTGTAGCCAGTGGTATCTGTGAAAGGGTCCCCCATGGGGTGCTTCTGGGCACCCACAAAGTTTTCTGTGTACAAATGTTCTTGCGGTATGCATGCGTGGATTTGTATATATCCGTAGCAATGAATGCGTATGACATTCGTACAACTTTCTAGCAATTTATATACAGACTTCAAAAGAAATGAACATAGCCAAGTAAGTATCCATTTGAAGTTGGCTTCCATATGCAGCCCATTCAGATGCTGAAAGCAGTCAGAATCCTCAGTCCATTGCTATATAGCGGGCGAGTATTTATCCTTCCAGGGTTGTAGTATCGGTATTCTATATGTCAAAAGGCTTCGAGAATTCATTTAAACTGCCCATTTGTTAATGACAAGTAAGCAGGTAAATAATGTAAAAAAGGATGTACATCACTGAATAGTAAAGACTGTTCCAGTACAAAATTTATATTGTATAATAACTACCCAAAAAGAAGACATTACTGGACATTGTCAAAATATGTGTTTGAAAGAAGTGTTAACTGAATTGCACTAGCAGTTATCTGAATCAGACCTTCTCTTATTTTCATTCCACATTATGGAGACTCTGGAGTCTCCCTGGCTCATATTTTGTACTGTAATTTACATATAAGTAGCTCTACAAACTTGTCTTTCCAGGACATTGTCACAACCTGCCTAGTCTAAATTTCAGTCTCTACCTTTTATTATTTTTTCCTATAAGCCAAAACATGCCCTGGGCCAAGAATCTCCCTAAGTATGGTTTTATGGGGTACTTTCATACCCCAAACATTAGGCCTCAAACAAAGGAACAAAAGTTCAATACTGATCACCCTGGTCTCTTTTCAAAGCTAAGATTTTTAGCAAAAGCATTCAGAAAACAGAATTAAAATCTATTGAGCAATTTTCTATTTTTTTAAGTTACTAGGCTGAACTATTGTTACATAGAATTAATTGTTGTTTATAAGCCTCAGGAAGAATTAAACTATAAACTACCTGTACTTGCTGAGAGCTGAGAGCCCTTACTGTGTTGATAAGAAAATTCCTGGGGGAAGAATTCAGCCAGAACAAATGCCTCTCATATGCCACATTTGCCCAAAATGACCCCAAATGCAGCGAATGCTAGTTTTTTGTTGACATGGGGTAACATGCTGTGGTGTTCAATACAGAGAGGAAACATTTTTGTTGCTGAATATGACACAGCCTGAGATCCATAGATATAACAAGTTAGCGGCCAAAGTAACCCAGCATTCCACTGGTGCTGGTGCCCACAATGGTGTCTCAAAATCTCAAATGTGGCCATGGGCCCAAAAAGGCTGGTGAACCCTGGTGTCGGCAGTCCATGCTTGGATGGGCTGACTTAGAGTAATCTGTCAAAGTCTGTATGTGGTATTGGTTGGGGCCACCCCACCCCATGGCCCAGTGACCTTTCCAACTCCACCATTCTATAATTGTATGAGTCTCTCCCTCTCCTGACTTCCTGATTCTCTCCTTTTGTGTCTCGCCCTTTCTTCGTTCATACCTGCCCAACAGGTAACTGTAGCAGGCTCTTGCTACAGGTCCAGACTGATTTCTTGGAAGAGGTGCAAAATTAGGGTGGGTACTGCAGGCCATCCTCTCCTGCAGCACCTACTCTGTAGGTCCACATTAGAAAAAAGAGAAAAAAAGATTAAAATCTGAGCATTCTGTCCTCAAGAATGGGATTGGGACAAAGCAAAGGATGTGAGCACTGCATGCTCATGTTGCCCAGGCAATGCAGCGATTCAGTGAGCCTTGAAATGGCTCCCAAAATGAGAGGTTTGCTGCAGCCTAACAAAAGCACGGATGTGATTCTTGTTGTGGTGATTTACTTTCTTTTTTTCATTTGTTGTTCCCATAGATGAGGGAACAATCTGCAGGAGAAGTCTCAGACGATTTAGCAATGAGATGGATACGGGGGTCGTGTTTATAGCTAGTCTCTTGCTCATTTTGTTTTTGTGGCTGTCCTTGAAAGGGAAGGGTTCAGATACCAACTCTCTCTTCTAGCGTGGCATCTATTGACGTCCTTCTCTCGACACAGGTGAGGAGAGCAAAAACCATTCTGATCCATCCAGACTTTGATGTCATGAGTTATGATTCTGATATTGCCCTGGTCCAGCTCCAGCCCCCACTTTCCTTCAACGCTGTGGTGAGGCCCGTGTGCTTGCCCAACGACACCAAGCCACTGTCTCCCTCTGTACTTTGCACTACGACAAGCTGGGGGAGTCTCCAAGAAGGCGAGTCTGTTTTCTCTACTGAGTGGCAACACTACTGATCAAATTATTTTCTCGACCTTTTAAAAGAAGTCTGCTGGCTACTGTGCTGGTTTGTAAAATCCTGCACAGCGGTGCCCCCTCCCCGCATCTTTGGAACAAACTCCCTGCTGCAGCCCACTTGGCACCAAATTTGTCAGTTTTTGGTACCAGATCTCCTTGGGGGGAGAGCGTTCCAGATGTGGGGAGCAGCTGCAGAAAAGGCCCTCCTCCTGGCAGCCAGCCCTCTCACCTGCTTAAGGGATGGTTCACACAGGAGGGCCCCCTGCGTCGATCCTCCTATCAAGTTTCTAATTCCTTTGCACTCTTCCTGTCCTTCAGGTGGGGGCCTTGCCAGCCGCTTACAGCAGACTCCCGTCCCCACTCTCGGCAGTGACGTCTGTGAGCAAAACTATTACTTTAACCACCCTGGAGGGATCACGACCAGGATGCTCTGTGCGGGTTTTGCATTTTCTGGAGGCCAAGAGACCTGCCAGGTGACTCGGCTGCAGGATTGGGTTGTGCCAGAAGACATGGGCAGATGTGTGAGGTTATTGCTGAAGGGGTCTGTACACAGAATGACGCTTACAGAAGCTGCAGATTAGAAACAGGAAAGAAACGCAGGGCGAAAGAGCAGGCAAGGCCCTGATAGCTCAAGCTTGGTGATATGGATGGGCAATTCTGTCAAGCTCATTGAATTTCTGCCATTATACCTGTCCTGCCATGTTTCTGCAGCCATTTGCACATTTTATCTTTTAAGGTTCTGCCTAAAATCCATGGTTCTCTTTCCCAAGGCTTTCTCTCATGTTTGGGGGAAGGAGAGGTAGTAACAGAAAAAGGACAGCTGTCCTTCTGTGTTGTCAGTGCAGCAGTTAAGTGGTAAATGTTGAAGTCTAGGGGGTCAGTGTGACAGTCCCCGCAGTCATGCCCCCAAGAAGAGTTCAAAAATTCAGGTGGCCGCATTGATCCATCTCAAGAAACCAGAAACCTGTTCGAGCCCTTTCTATCTTTTCTGCAAAGCTAATGAGTCTTACTTGCCCATTCAGGACCGAGCCACCCCAAAATGCTTTGTGTCACAACAAGGAATAATAGATTGTAGATGGGAAAATCCATTTCTTCCCGGCTACTGAGGACTGTGTCTCATCTCAGAGAGATGCGGGAAGCCAAACGGTGGTGGCAGAGGATGCCGGTGTCCCTGCGAGTAAAGAAGTGGCTGCACGGGGTCCCTGCGAGTCCTGGTGCCACTGGGCCATGGCTCATAGCCAAATGTTAGATTTACCTCTGCTAGGTTTCACATACACACATACCTTCATTGCTTGTGGGGTATACAGCATTTCTGGGAGACAGTCGCTTACTTGCCTGCAGCATCTGGTTATTTGCTGTGTGGCAGGACAGCAGGAGCCTCCAAGCTGCGGGTGCTGGGGGTGTTCTTGCAGGCACAGGACTCCTGGCTGCTCTGCAGATGCTTGCTTGCAGGTGAGTCTGTAGCAGCTCAGCACAAATATAGGCAGCAGCTGCCTTCTGCTGCAGTCCATGTGGCCAGTGGTCCAGAAGGCTGGATGTTGTGGTCAGAACACCTGGAGGGCACCAGGCTGGGGAGAGCTGAGCTACTGAACAGATACGGTGTTCGTATAAAAGGTCAGGTTGCAAACTGTTCGCTTGTCCTTTGTGTGTGTCTCCCTTCCAGGGGAACTCGGGTAGTCCGCTGGTTTGCCCAAATGAGGATGAGTCATTCACCCTCCATGGCATTGTTAGCTGGGGTGTTGGTTGTGCCAGACCAAAGAAACCAGGTGTTTATGCAAGGGTGAGCACCTTCTTGGGCTGGATCAAGTCCCAAATGAACGGTAACTACTATCCTATTTCTTTCTCCCCCCTTCCACAGTACCAAATGCTGTCTATCAGCAAGTTTTGCTTTCCTATGGTATCTGGACTACTCTGTTCTGCTGGATTGTAGCAGTGCCCCATGGGAACATCCAGAGTATATACTGCAATGCCATCTGGGAGCACAGGAAGGTTTCTGGGAAATCTCTGGTTAACCACTTCCTCCCTGATGCGTATCCAAAGAACCCAAACAAGTTCACCACATTGCTAGCAGTGGCCCCAGACAGTTCCCTGACAAATGCAAACTGCACAGATTCGCTTTTGCACAGCGATCCATGGGACACTCATCTTATTCCCTGTGCGCCATGTGCTGCCATCACATGCATATCTTTGGTGTGCAGCAGATCTTTGGACTCGGTGCACTTCCAGACATATAATTAACCTCCTCAGTGTACACTCGGAAGTGGTGCAGGTGTAGGAAGGGACTGAGCCAGCCTTGCACCAGGTTGTGTGTTTGCACAGTAAGCTGCAGGTATATGAAAAAAATCCAGTCTTCCATATAGTCCATGAGAAATGAGCTTGGTCTACAGTGATTTGTGCCTGTATTGCAAGCATTTTTGTTCCACTCTTCAGCAGAAGGGGCTGCTGGGACAGCTTCAGTAAGTTAAGTGACTAATAAGGCTGTCCTTGTCTGTCGACTTACAATCAAAAAGACTGGACAGAAAAGGAAAAAGAGTTGAGCAGGGAAGATGAAGATGATCGAACAGGCACTAATTCTTAAAGCTTTAGATGCATAGCCCTGGGGGACTTGTGTCCCTTTACAGTGAGTGCAGTTACGGTTGCTATTTATGATTGTGATTGTTTCATTAATCAGCCTTCCTCCCTATTTTTCTTCTGCCTCACTTCAGAAAAGGGACCGGGGGAGATCCTAGTGAACAATGCTGCTCTTGAAGCATCAGTGCTGCTGAAAACCCTGATGGGAGCTGATGATGGACAAGGTAACAACCTCCTCAGTGTTATCCCTGGCAACAACCAGCCTTTGTCAAGGCTGCAACAGGCAGTCCAACGCATGGCTCAGCTGAGCTGTGTGTATGGAGCCCTGGGAACTGCAGCCTTGCCTGAGTTGAGAGAACACTCCATGGAGATCTAGTGGGCAATTTTTAGCACTCTCTCCAAACTTAATTTAGCAGGTTTCTCTGGGGGAGCTGTGACAGTTAAGCTAGGACATAATCAGTCTGGACCCAGAATGCAAATAAGCTGTTTCTCCCATAACATTTAGATTGCATGACATAAACTGTGTGTGGTGCTCTTTAAGTTCAGTTGAAATGTGCCTGATGGTAACATTTCCAGTGGCATGCTAGATCCAGGGCTCACTTGCTCCTTCCTTTCTTCCCAAAGTAGAGATGCTGAGGTCAGATGGCATGCTCCATAGAATTCCCTGTTCTTCTAAACTTAGATGCAGTCCTCACACTAACTTGTGGGAAGATAAATTTTCCCTGCAAGAAAACATTGCTGTGGGGTATTCCTGTTATTGAAATGCAAAAATATTTAGGGGTGGCTTGATCTAGGAGGAGGAAAAAAGACCCATTGGCTTTACAAAAGGCCTGCTTTTGGGGACCTGAAAGCTGCTTGAACGGACTGGTTGCTGCGGATCAACACAACTGCCTGTATCTTGGACTTTACTTTAGAATATGGCAACAGGGACTGTCATGATGAATGCCTGGACTTCAAAGAAGCATTGCCATATGTCTGTTCCTTGCTTGCCTACCTGTCTGTCTGCTTGCCTGTTTATGGAGGGAGAACATGTAACCGTTTGCATGGCTTTTATTCTTTGCAGGATGCCCATCTGAGTTGGTTTTGGGCAAGCCCAGAGGGGTTATCTTCTCCCCTTGCTGCTCCCAGAAGTACACAGGAACTGGTCGGTGTTTGTGGCTGCTCAGAATTTCCCCAGGAGGAATGGCAAAACTGATTGTCCGTCGGCTGTCAATATTGGAGACTGAGAACTGCAGAACAGAGTTTCTTGCCATTTATGAAGAAAGCCAGCAAGGAAGAAAAATCCTAGGTAACTAAAAATGCTCTTCCATGTTCAGTGCCTGTATTGCACCTGTTCTGAGACACAAAACAAACATCCTCAGGGGACCACATTAGGGAAGTGGAATGAGTGGATGAGAAGATGGAATCCCCCTCCTCAGAGCTCGTTCTTTCTGTATGTCACAAGAAATGGGGAGAAGGCAGAACGTTTCAGCAGAAGGTGGAGTGTTCCAATGGAAATGGCCAGTTCCATTCAACAGTCCACAGAGCTGTGTTCAGGTGTGTCATTCTGTTAGCACAAATGATGTTGCACTTCAGGAAGTTCTGTTCTGAACTAGGCACAAGAGCAGAATCCAGTTAAAGTTGGCAGTAAATAAAACCAGGGCAGTTTTTCCCTGTCACCCTTTGAGAAAGGCAGTTTTGAACTCCGTCTTCACAGAATAAGGTTACTTGCAAGGCATGGTAGTCCAGACACATGAAGCTTGGGTGGGGGGTGGTGATAAAATCATAGCATAGTAGAGTTGGGAGGGAGCAGAAGGCTGTTGGGTCCAGCCCCTGCTATTGCAACCTACTCCATATTGCTTGTCATAAGGACTTAAGAAGAACAGGTTAGATCAGAGCAAAACCTCTCTAGTTCAGTAATTTGTTCCCAGAGCAACCTATCAGATGACACCAGGACACGCACACCCACCCGCTTGTGCTTTTCAGCACCTGGCATATAGGCAACATCACCAGCAGGACACAGTAGCCTTCTCCTCCATGAATCTTCCCAGTCTTTTAAAACTGTCCAATTTGGTGGGCATCACTGTATCATTGTGCAGTACGAAGTGCTTCCTTTTATCTGTTGTAAATCTGTCACACTGCTCCATTTCACTGGATGAGCCCCGGTTCTAGCATTCTGGGAGAGGGGAGAAAAAACTCCCTGTCCATATTCTTCACATCTTGTGTAATTGTGTACATCATGTCCTCCCCTTGCACACCTTTTAATAAGCTAAGCAGCCACAAATGTTGTAGCTTTAGCTCATTGACCATATTGGTCTGCAGCTTTGTCGCATGTATGTCGAAGGGGAAAGGGAGAGAAATTGTGTTATCATGACGCCTGATCCTAGGTGACCAAATGCGTCTGTCTGGATTCATGATTTTTAAAGCTTGTTCTCTTCCTTAGCTAAGCTCTGTGGCACCCTACAGTCTCCCATGACCTTGCTGAGTCCAGGTCCTGTGGTCAAAGTGGAGCTACGTTCCACCATCCATGGTATTCTTGGTATGACCTACGTGGTCCTTGGAATTCAAGGTAATGCTCCACCAATATGAATGCTACAATGACAACAGGCTGATTTCTAATCCAAGCTGCTGTCTGGCATCCTTATTTGAGAAGAGAGTTTTGCTGCTACTGTTCTAACAACTTTAAAATAATATCTGTAACACATTTATATATGCAAAGTGCTTTATGGCTTCCCTTCCACCTGTTCACATGGACCTTCACAACAACCTTACATTGCAAAGAGCAGGTTGAGATTGCTCACTGTGTTTCTGGGTTGAGTCAGGCCTTGCATCTGATCGATATCACTATTATTTGTTACTTCTGTGTCACAGAAATATTCTTGCTCTGTGGATTCAGAGTCGCTGTGTGGATTCAGACAACGTGGTAACCCATACCCAGGGTTGATGTGGTTGTCATTTTGTAATGTGGCTTATTGTATGAACACAGCTGAAATAACAAGTCACGGTGAGCAGCCACCGCTCACAACCCATTGAGAAACCATGAGCATTCTTCATGGGTTGTCTTTGGTTAACAAACCATAGCACAGCCGGGTTCAGACAGCACAACCCACAGTTCAATGACCACCTATATTCAAGCAGCATTCAGCTGCTGAATGTCTCTATGCTTATTCTCTATATTGTCTGCTTCTGCAACAACTCTACACGGTGGATCATTTTTTTTTACTTTTTATAGGTAGGGGTATTGGGGGTAGACTGTGATCCAGAGGAAGCCAAGGTTATGATGCCCATTCAACAGCTATGTAGGTCACTGGCTGACTTGCGCTAGTCACTTTCAGCTTACTCTACCTGACAGGGTTGTTGTGAAAATAAAACACCAGTGGGGGAGAGAAACATGCATAGTGCCATGAGCTTCTTGGAGGAAAGATGGGATAGAATTGTAATTGGTCATTTTTATTTAGAACATGGGGGAAATGCAGATTAAAGGAAAGATACTCTGCAAGGTTGCACGGTGAGTCCATGGCACTATTGCTCTAGGGAGTCCAAGGCTGGCAATTTAAATCTCTCTTCCAGAGTATTTGGAAAGCTGCAAACTGTATTTGCTTTGGCCTATAGTATGTGACATAAGCACTAGGACTGTCTTTTTGCAGCTTGTTTCCTCTACTTTTTCTTGCGGCATGGACTGCTTTCTGGATCCTGTTGAGTAGTCCTTGAGTTCTTTGGTACAGTTTAAACTAGGTGATGGGCCTTTTTCACTCCCATCCATGCTGTCAGTTTTATCATGGACCGAGGCATGTCACATAGGTCTCTGCTGGGATGCCTTAAGTGTTGACAAAAGGACCATCTCAGTGCTGAAACTGAAATCAAAAATAACCACCTCTGCTTGGAAATCCATTCCTCCCTGTCCCCCTCCCCCACCAGGGCCAAAAATGGGGAACAGGATGAAAAACTTCAGTGACTTGAGTGAGCAGTTATTGCGCTGCCGAGACGTCATCCTTGAAGACCAAGAAGGAATAATCAAGTCCCCGGGTTTTCCTGACAGCTCCTCCAACACCACCAGGTGAACGAGTCACTTTCTTTCTGCCATGTTGCAGTACCTGATGTCTTGAACACTGATCATTCTGGGCATTGGGATTTGGTTTACTTCTCCCAAAATGCAGCATTCCAAAATAGTGATTTCAGACTCTGAATGTGATCTGGAAGAAGAGGTTGGGTTGGAATGCTCAGCTGACTTGTCCAAGTCAGTGAGCTGTGAGATTAACCAAGTAGCTGGTGAGGACCAGAGATGCTGTAGAACAGGGAGGGTCAGAGGGGGAGGGATGTGAAGTCCAGTGGCTTAATATCAAGTAAAGCAAGCAGGCCAATTAAATAACATCTGGCGTTTCCTCTGTCACATCCACAAGCAGTGTGAACCTTCCTGAGGGTGCAGCTAGCTTCATTTGGCAAGGAATTCAGTATGGAAGCAACTCTTAGCATGGCCGAGAACAAGCTACACAATTAGAGGGATCTAATTTGATAGATGCTTCTTGTTAATTAGGTTTTTGTTACTCACTGGGTGGGTTAACATCTCAATCTTGCATCATTACCATGGTTCCTGTTGTTTTCCATGATCAACCTGACAGACTGTCAAATGGTTTCTACATTATTGTGGTTTCCATCCTATTTGCTCAGTCCTTCTACTGTGGGCTTGTATCCCATCAGCCACTGTGCCTGAAATTCAGTCCCAAGGTGCATCACTCCTTGCCTATTTTGCCTGCTTTTTCCTTGTTGGTCCATACAGTTCCCTGCATACGTTCTCCTGCTTCCTTTCTTTTTTCCCCATGTCCCTTTATCAGCAATGCTTGCCAGTGAATGGATCTGCCCATAGGAAGTGCTCTTCCTCCACAGTGAATTGTCTTTAGCCACACCCCTTTTATCCCTCCCTCCCAGCCTTCCCTTGATGCAGAGCTCCCAAGGCTTGACTTTGTGCGGGAACTGCAAATATGGCAGCTACGTAGGATTCCTCCCATGTATTTATTCCCACAAAAGGGATGCATCAGGCAGGCTTTGCCTTCCATCTCTGCAACCACTTCTACACCCTCGCCAGAAAATATACGGTCCCTTCCAAGCGCTCACACAGTTGTATCTTTGCTCAGGCTTCTTCCTCACTGTTGTAGGAACTTTCCCCACTGAAATGCACTGCAGTCTTTATGGTAAACTGGGCACATCTTCCCAACAGCAAACCAAACCCTCCTAACAAGAAAAACTCTTCTATAGTAAAGGAGACCTTTATTTCAACAGCATAAGAAAGTTATTGCTTTCGTTAAAAGATTTTTCTGGAGAAACTAAAGGTTATTATCTCAAGAATACATATGCAAATATTCTGCTGGTGTGCAAGCTAGGCTGCCCAAAAGCTGTGCCCACAATCTAATTCCCCCCACCCCGTAGCATCCGCCCCCATGCTAGTGTGTATTCAAGTATCCAGATACTTTGGAATTCAAATAAAAGGCACAATGACTCAAACTGGCATTTGTGAAAACTGTGGCAGGCCGGGAGTACAAGAGAGTAGCCAGCTCCAAGCTTCAAACGTGTAAAGCATAATAGTGGAGCTTGTATGGGAAGGTTTCTTGGGTCATCCAGTGCTTTTCTTCTTGGAATCTGTTGCCCCCCCACCCACAGACATCTATAATGCACACACATTATATAACACTTCTGATTGGCTGAAAACAGTTTCCTCTATTTCCTGTCCATATTCTTTTTCCAATTAGGTTGCCTTCACAGTTTATCTTCCTTTGATAGTACACTTGAGTACTCATTTATCTATCTTACATGTGACAAGCTTTGCTTAACATACCACAGACTCCTCTTCATGGTCTGTTCCTGGTTAGTAAGCCAGTGAAAGGAAACTAGGCTTCATTCTAAGCAGGAAAGAGACCCCAGAGCTGGCATGCAAGGGTAGAAGATGGACCAGAGTGGAGGACTGAAACTTATTTTTGTCTTGATAGGCCATGGCTTATTAAACTGAGTTCATTACATCTGAACCCTGATAGAGGCTTAATGGTTTTGTTGCTCCTGCTGTTACAGCTGTCACTGGAGGATTGTTGGCCCATTTAATGCCATCATTCGGTTGGATTTCCTGGACTTTGTGATTGAGGAATCCCCTTCTAAATGTCATGGTGGGCTTGCAGTTTATGAAGGATTTGGGTCCACCATGGAGGTGCTTGGTAAGCTATCTCAAATATTGTGAGGCCAACTGACTAGTCTTGATTTTAGTGATTCTCAGTTACTTTAAATGCAAAGTAACTGCTGCAAAGGGCAGGGAGTCTGTGTCTTTCGCAGGGAACAGGCAAAAGGCAATGGGCTTAATCTTAAATGGGAAAGTCTAGACTGGGTGTCAGAGTTCTTCTGCCCCAAGACCACTTCTAACCTAGAAAAACTCTGCAGGAATGGTTTCAAGATAAATCAGCCTGCCTTCAGCCTAGCACCCTTCAGATCAGGAGTCTCAAACTCAACTTACCTGGGGGCCGCTGGAAGTAGAGGCTGGGTGAGGCTGGGCCGCATCAAGTATTCCACCGCCGTGGCGGTGGTGGGCCGCTCATCCCGCGGCTGGCCCGGGCACCGCCGGCGCTTTGAAGGCCGCAGGACCCCTCCCCCGTGCCCGCCCGTCCCGGCAATCGGCCCGTGAGTTTGAGACCCCTGCTTCGGATGTTTTGGAATAAAACTCTCATAATCTCTGGCCATTCGCCATGCTGGCAGCGCGGGCATACAAGTGGGTGGAAGGGGGAAGGTTTCAACCTCACCTACCTACCCTTGGTGGTCGTGATCCAGTTCAAGGCCCTGCATATGTTCTTTAGAGACATCTTGTTTAACATATTCTGTTACTTTAGGCTGAGGGAACTGTGGGGCACTGTCATAAATTTGTAAACAGAGCAGAAAGTTTGGATTTTAGCCGCTCTTGGGAATACAGAAAGAGGCTCCTGTTATTCAAACCACTGATGCGCCCAGCTCAGTATTGTTCATGTTGACTGGCACCATCTCTCCAGGACTCCAGCCAGGAGTATTTCCTGGCACTTCCAGGAAATGCTGGTGCGGAACGCTGTTGTGCTGAAGGTGCAGTGGGTGGTGGCTCTTTGGGCTTGGCCCATTTTAGGATTCTGGAATTGCTGCTAGATCGATTCTGATAATGGCGGCCATTAACATTGCACCCAAGCTGATGCTTTTGGACCGTGGTCATGTGCACCAGTGGCATTAAACCTCTTTCAGTCTGAAGGCCAAATTCAATAGTCGGGAGACCGTCAGGTTGCATTCCCATGGCAGACAGGGCCAAAGGCGAAAGGAGATGGGACTGAAATGCCAAAGATGCAGCTGCATTCAGTTCCACTTACTGTGTGATCAGATGCCTAAGATTACACTCTCAGACTCTGAGCTGGTTTGCCCAAGCAAGTTTATTCACAATAATGGTTTCTCTACTTTTAGGCAGCTTTTTATTGTACAATGTTTCAGTGTGCACCCAGGAAGCTCATATAACCAGGACACTGAGCTGCCAAACTGCCTTTTTACGTATGTCTCACAGGTAACTTCTGCAACAAACTGCCACACTACCCTTTAAAGTCGCGAGGCCCTGTGGTGACACTGCTCTTTACTTCCAGAAGGGATACGAATGTGAAAGGTTTTGTTCTTGCCTACCGCACCCTTGAAATACAGCCCAGTAAGTAGAAGACTTTGCAAGAGCTTTGGAGGTGGAAATAGGTGCATAACCTGAGTCGGGGAATATGAAAAAGTAGAAGGGAAGAAATGCTTGGTGGAGCAACAAGGGAAATGTGCTTACAGAAAACAGCCCTTCAGCTAATCCAGCAATACCCAAGAGTTGTGTGCAGGCAACACGCTGCTAGGTGCCATATCAAGTAGAGGAAGTCATTGAAAACCTCCCATGGATCTAAAGTATCCAGCCAGCTGTTAGTGCTGTTGTACGAGGCTCTCTGTTGTATCTCTGCATGTGTTACTGCTCTTGCCTTCCCTCCCTATAAATATCATGCATACATAAGTAATCTGCATCTTCCAGGCCCTTGTTTTAGGGAGAGGAGAAAATCCTTTTCTTTCACTGTATAGGTTGTAATGGGATAATTCAGCCTTCCCCCAAGCTGGCAGTGACAATACCTCCCATCATCCCCATGTGATCAGGAATGGGGCTAGGAGTTGTAGTCCAGAGCACTGGCTTTGGGGACCTTTTGCAGAGTCATCAGAATTGCCAACCTCGGAAGAGGGTGCCTGTTTTGTCTTTATATGAACCATGGTTCTAGCCTGAACTACTTCCAGTTGGGGGTATGACCTGATCCGTGACTCATGAAGAGAGACATGAGGTGGATTCCTCTTCCATGTATCCTAACCTTTTCTGGGCTGTAAGTATGAGGTGTATATCTATCTTTGATTCAGAAAATAATGGGATCCTTCTCCCCCAGTGCTAAAAGGCAGCCAGTGCTGGAAGCCGTCTGCTGAAGCTAAGGGTGGGGCAGATAAAACAAATGGGAAGTATTTCTTCACACTGCACTGGAGATATGATGGCGCCTTCTGAGGCAGCTTTAGGAGGGTTTAGGGCCATCAGGGAATGACACCCTAGTCATGATGGCTTCCTAATACTTCCAGAATCAGATGCTGTGTGCGTCTGAATATTATTAACTGGAGAAGAACAGCAGGAGTTTCCCAGGGGTATCAGTTTGACCACTGTGAGAAACAGGAAGTTTGACAAGAAGGGCCTTTGGTCTGAACCATCCTCCTCCTCCTCCTCCTCCTCCTCCTCCTCCTCCTCATGTTGAAGACATTAACCCTGTTCTTTATTGGCTTCTAGGCTGAGTCAAGATTCCAAGGGAGCAATCCTTGCATGTTGAGGCAGGGACTGAGGCTGGGACCTGTTGACCCTTTTCTGCCTTAACATACATAGCGTTACATCTTTAAAAAGTTAACAAGCTGCTGCACAAAGCACAATTATCTTCTATATTACAGGATTTGGAGCATTATTGCAATTACTATTATTATTACATTGCATTTATAACCTGCCTTCATTTCCTCTCGTGAGGAACCCAAGGTGGCTTACAACCCTGAGAGGTAGGTTGGGCTGAGAGTCTGTGACTGGCCCAAAGTTGCCCAGGGAGCTTCATGGCCACGTGGGACCTGGAACCCAGATCTCCTGGGTCCCCAGTTTAAAACCTTAGCCACTGCACCCCACTAGCTCTGTACACAAGCACACTAATTACACAGTTACATGTATTTAAGCTTAATTGCCATATAGCTGAGTTCCAGAGGTGCTGGACTAAAGCTGCCATGATCCTCAGCCAGCATGGCCATTGGCTGCGAGGGAAGCTACAATCCAGCAAATTTGGAGGGCAACATACTGGGGAAGACTGTAGCAAGCATGTCGCTTGGGGTGTGTGAGGTTTCTTGGTCCGTCCGCCAAGGCTTCACAGAAAAGGTGATGGATAGTTTTTTGGCAAGCCTTATGACAAATATTCATATATTTATTTGGCGTTCCTACTGCATCGTTATTCATATGGTAAACCAGAGCTCTGGGTATCATTTTGCTGATAGGTTATATAACTTTGATGGTTTTTTCCACTCATGGAAAATTCCATACTGCTATAAAAGGTATGATGGTTTAGATATGCTCGAGTTGGTATCTTGCAATGACAGTTTCTTCTGGATTTCTGTGCCGAGCAACAGAGCAGAATTTTCTTAAATTAATTCTTTAAACATGTGTGCCTTTTTGTTGAACCACTGTTGTCTCTTAATTATCTCTGAAATTTAACTGTTTATCCTGATGCACATTTTCCCCTCTTACAAGGTCCAACACAAAGTAGAATAAGAAATGCTGGCAAAGGTATGAATAACATTCTTCGTGGATGATAAATGTACATGCATGTCAATAGTTTCCTATTCATTTTAATTTCAAGGAAATCCTCCACATCCTAGGAACAATCAGACACATATATGCTAGGAATTTCTGGGCAAGTCCCACTGATTTCAATGAGGGCTTAGATCCAGGCAAGAGCTCATAGCCTTGAAGCCTAAATGTGGCTTACTTGGATAACTACCTACTTAGTTTCCTGTAACACAGTTCATTAACCTGGCTCACAGGTGGGAATGTCTGCTTCTTTAAGTAACTTGAGATTGCCAAATGACAATATGGGGGAACTGTCTTTGAGCTCTTCATTTGCCCTTACAAAACGGAGCAGGGCAGGATGGTGTGCTGTATCACAGGTAGGATGCCCAGCCAAGGTCCCACACCTTGCGGGCTCTTTGCAACCCCGCTGGACTCGCTCCTCCTCTTCACCACAGCAACCAACTTGCTCCCCTCGCTCTCACTCGGACCCAGGCAACAGAGGCAGCGTGACAGGAGGAGGAGCAGGAGGCATTGCTGCCCACTGGCTCCTGGCTCTCTGCTGGTCAAGCAGTGAGTGGTCGCAGTGATGGGGAGCAAGAGCAGCCGGTGACTGTGACCATGAGAAGACGCTCTCTGAGGGAGGGGTCTATTGAGGGCAGCTTGCCCGAGTGCCTGGCAGGATGCAGGGAGAAGAACCAGAGGTGGCGACTCTGTATTTGTTCATTAACACCCTAATAAATTGAAGCTGAGAAAGTGTGGCTGCAAGAGGCTGAATATGGCCCTTGTGTATCACTGAGTGCAGCGAGAACCTTTATCAGTATGAATCCCATGTTTTTCTGGCAATAAGCACAACACAATCCTAGCAATTTAATGAATCTTTCTTCTTTTTCTTCAAGCATGTCCAGTTTTGGATCTGATCCCAGTAGGAGCTGTTGAGATGGTTTCCCCAAATTACCCAGATGCTTACCCTGACTTATTGAGCTGCACTTGGACAGTCTATTCTGCTTCTGGAAGCAAGCTGAAAAGTGTGATCAGAGAGCTTTCAATAGAGGATGCTGAAGATTGCATCTGGGACTCCCTGAGCATTTACGATGGACCAGATCAGCATTCAGCATTGCTTGGTACATTGACCTGCATCTATCAATTCTTCCTCTTTATATAGCAAAGATAATTGCTGTGCATAGTATTGTTGCCTTGCTTTTTATCACCCATAGTTGGAAGATCAAAATGGACCATTAAGCATGTGTTGTTAGCAGACTGGTAAGTGACGATGATGCTTCACTGTTCCTTGACGGGACAATTTGTTGAACTTGAATTCTCAGAAAGAGACTTTTACATACGTAAAGCAAGTTCACTTAGTTGCCTTCTGTGCCTGTGTGCAGGGAAAGGGGAGAAATCCATTCAGCTCACATTTTGCACTTTCAAATCGACTTAGTTATCCTTTTAAATTTTTGCAAGCTCTTATCCAAAAAGGGTTGCTTTGGGAGAAAGTACATAAATGCATGGATTCATTATAATAATTGTTGAAAAGACAATTCATTAGGAAAATTGCTTGGAAAAATGATGTGTCATGAACAAAATGCAGTCAAAATATATTCCAAGAAATCCCTACAAATGTTCATGTGATTTTTAAAAATTTCAACATTCAGAAAATGCCAAACTTAAGACTGGGAAAAGATTGGACACAGCAAGACAAACTGAGACAGGAACGTTTGTCCGTCCATACTGCACTGAGCATGTTTATGTGCTTTAAATGTAGCCTTTGAAGGCCTGGGCATTTGGGGTTAGGGTTAGGTTTTTACAAGGCAGTGCATGCAGTGCAAACAGGAGACACACACTAGGCCCTTCCCAAGCCAGGTTGTCTTTTGCAGTCCCCTTGCTTCCAGTAAACAGAACCCTGTGTAGCAGTCTTGCCTCTTTGTAAGCAGCGCTTTATCTCTTGTGCTTGGCAGGGAAATTATGTGGCCGAAAAAAGAACCTTCAACTATTTTCAAGTGACAGCTACTTGACAGTGCATTTCCACACTGATGGCTCAGTTGGAGCCAAGGGCTTCCAGATCCTCTTTGAAGAGACGAACCAAGAACCAGCACAGAGAAACAAGAACGGAATAGAACTTGAGAGTCAGTGTAATTTAAAATCGGGGTTCATCTTTCTTCTATAGACCCCAGTTTTCCAGTAGTTCTCTCTATGCCATTGCTTATTTATTAGCAGTGCCATCCCTATGCATGTTGCTTAGGAAATTTTGGGAGCTGTAGGACTTTTTCTGTCTAATCATGCATAGGATTGCACCCTTAGAACATTTGTACCTTCATGAGGTTCTGTACTTTGGGATCCATTATATTGTAATGCAGCTCAAAAATCTAAAAATCCACCTGCAGGCAGCACCACCAGTAACACGCACACACACACACACGGCAGCATTACAGAATGACAGCTTGAAACAGATAAGGGTCAGTTGAAGGCCTGCACTGTAACTTTGTGTGTACATGTGCTCAGCAGATGTTTGGCAATGCCTATTGGTCCTGTTAAGCACATTTGTTACACCAGTTCTAGATGTCTGCTGTTAATGGCGGGGAGCCATCGGCTTTGGCTGAAGCATTTTGGCTTCAGCTCTGTGTGTGCTTACGTAAGAAAATTTCCTGGGGCTTTCTTCTGAGCAGATGCACGTAACATTGCACTCTTTGTAAGCATTTCTCAGCCTTGGGAGGTTGTTGGAGGACAACAACTATCATTCCGCACCATCGGCTGTGCTAGCTTTGTCCTTTCCTAACTTAACTTCCTTTTATACCATATTTAGTAGCAGCAGTGCTATCTTACACAGTAGTCGGGGAGGTTGAAATTATGAAAAAACCCAAACCTGAGGCACAGTAAACCACTTTGGAAGAAATTGTCCAGTCAGTAAGCAAACCACAGTCATGATTATCATAACATGGAGCTGCTGCTGCTGCTAATTTGTTGCTAATGATAATGACTCCTCTCTTCTTTCAGGTTCACCTGGCAAACTATTTGCCTCTGAAGAAAGTAAGTAACATTCCACAAATATAGTTGAAAGCTCTGTGGGTGTTCATGCGTGTGCACATGCGTCTGTGGGGGTGTGGCCTTGCCTAGGCTTTGGCCTAGCACATCCCCTGTTAGGTAAATTTAGATGTACAGATTGCTATGGTAACCAGATGCTTAACTACTTCTCCATGTATTGAGGCAGTTCCCCATCCTTAAGATGTTGTAATTCAGGGGTCTTATATGAAGAGAAAATAGTAGTTAGAAGCAGAAGGAGAACAGATGGCGAGAGTTGCATTTTGAACTCTGGGTGTGGGAGTAGTGTACAGTGGCTGCTGCTGGGAGTGTTTAAGGGGTGTGCTTCTATCTATACTTAACCTGTATATCTGTAAATAAACAGAAATATAAAACACCAAAGGTAGCTGAAAAACACTACATTGGTTTGGTTCTGTTCATTCCTGTTCCCGGCCCCAACTGAAAATGAGAAGCGTGGTTTTACAGCTTGACTGGAAGGAGAAGTTTCCCAGAACATCCTGAGGATGGGGATCATTCTTAGTTTAGTGAACTTTATAAGTGGGACTTCTCTCCCTTCAAAGTCACAGGTTTTAGTATCACGTCCTTGCCCCTTTCCCTCTTCCTTTGACACTTAGGAAGAACCACAGGGCTACTTTTTATCTTCCAAGATACTGCTAGATGCTTTCTCTCCCTTTTTGTGCACTTAAAAAGGAGAATCCTTCTGATTCTCCATAGCTTTCCAATCCTATCACATTTCCAGATGAAGCGGTCATGGAAGCTATGCTACATGGCATGGTTTCCATAAACATTCCAGGAAACATGATAGGAATGGGAAGCTCTGGGAAGCAGGAAGCTACAAAGAGTTTGGCCCAGCTCTAAAGAAAATTCCAACAACCCTCCAGTGATGTTCTTCCAAAGGCAGCCCAACCTGATTAAGCACTATAGCCTTGAAAATTCTCACCTCTTGGATATGTGGAGTGCAGGCAACAATCTATTATAATGGTTCCTAGCCAGCTGGAAGTAAATCTTTGTTCGTAGTTGAATATAGTTGATCATTCTTGAAGATGTGCTCAACCAGCCACCCATGTGATTGCCACTTAGAGAATTCTGTCAGGTCATTCAGGGGACTATACATTTAAAAAGAAATAAATGAGTAAATGCTACATACTGTGTTCCTTCAGGAATAACCGAATAGGTGCATAGATGGCAGTTCTGGCCTCATCCCTAGTATGATGCTTTCCAGAGGCACTGAAAAGCATTCCCCTTGGTGTCCACTACCAGAGCACACTTGCCTTCAGAAATGCGGTATCCCTTGGAACCCCTCCAGCTGCTCTGCTTTGTGCTGAGAATGTCAGCAGGCTTAGACTTGGGCTTATGGAACGTGTGCTAGAGCACTTATAGAATAACTAACCAGAACTACTGATTCTAGGCAAATGTGGAGTGCCAGTGGAGGACCTGTTCCTCACGGAGGAAGTGCCTGCACAAACCTCTGGGCAACAACAGGGCAAGCTGGGAGTAACTGGTGGCAACCTTGGAAGTCCAGCATCCTGGCCATGGCTTGCAAGCCTGCAGTTTGAGAACAAGCACTTCTGCGAAGGAAGCTTGATTGAGGATTGCTGGATCCTGGCAGCTGGACACTGCAACGTCAGGTAGAGGCATGCTGGCATTGCTCCTCTAGGAACCATATCCTCTGAGCCTATGCAGGCCAGCCCAAGATGTTTTGGTGTCTCACATACAGAAGCTAACTGGAATGGCTGTTGAATTTTACTTCCAGACCAGAAATAGGACAGTGTCTTGGGCAGCACCTGAGGCCAGCAGGCTCGCTCTGGTGCAGGACAGCCCTCCAGAAGGGAATGGCCAGTAGGTCACCGCTGCTGCATCCAGCTCTGCTGCTTGAAGCAGTTACCTCCCTCGGCCTGCCTAACGGTAGGGCTGGCCTCAAAGTCAAAGGGCATTTACTGCATTCTTGAGGCAGAACCTTCATGAGAATGCTCCTTGGGCTCCTTGGGCTGGCCTACCCCATCTGGCATGGGGTAGGCCACCTGGCACCCTCCAGATGTTCCGACCTGCAGCTGCCACCAGTCCCACCCAGCATGGCCAGTGGTAATTGTGATCCAGACATACGGAGGGGCCTGGCTCACATACCCTGATCCAACACGCTGTTGCCCCCATTTGCTGTTGGTGCTGCATTCTAAACCAGCCATGTGAATGTGTGGACTGGTGCACAGAAGCTCTCCAGCAGGAGGGAGAGGCTATATAGATAGTGCACACCATTCTTGTTGATACTAGGAAGAGAAAATGATGGCCTGCTCTAGCTGTGTAGTATCCTGTTGTTGCTTTTTCTCTTGGTTCAACTTAATTAACATTCAATACTTAAGTATTAAAATTAATGAAATATTAATGAGTTGTTATGCAGAGTATGTATCAGAAATATCATCTCTCTTTCAGTGCTGAGACAGACCAAGTTGTCCTAGGAATCAGCTATCTGTTGCCTGGTGGAAAAGGTGGCACCCAGGCCCCTTTGCTAGCTGTGCACCTCCATGCAAACTTCAGTGGCTTTCCTTTCAGTAATGACCTTACTCTGTTGAAGCTGGAGACACCCATTGAGACAGGTAATGGAATAGCAGGGTGTGGGGCTGGGCAGAAACCTTCCAGATACAAGATCCCTGCCTACCCCTGACATGGAATGTAGCTTGACCTGCAAAAGGGCTCTGCTTTGCTATCTTGGAGACCATCTGACAAAGCGTGGCCACAATGAAAGTCAAGTTGCTGAAACTAAAGCCCAGTGAAAGCAATGGAATGGGACTGAGTAGGCATGATGGCCCGCTTAAGCCCTGTTGATTTCAGTGGGATATTTGCTTGTATAAAGGGATTTGACTGACAAGTATTGATTGTATGAATGCGAGTTGGTTCGAGAGGTTTATCTCAGAGCTTTGATCTGTGAAGGAGGTTTCACACATGCAAGTCACTGCTCAAGCTGAAGTCCTCACACATGCATGTGAGAATCACCCATTCCCTGCATGCACTGGAGATGATCTCCTTGTGGTTTCTTGAAGGAAGTCTAGGAGGTCCCAGCAACTTGACATTGTGCTTTTCCTGTTCAGGAGACACCATAGCAGCCATTTGCTTGCCTGATCAGGATGAAGAACTGGGCATTGATGCAAAGTGCTTGACGGCAGGATGGGGCGTGATAGAAAGAGACAGTAAGTACCAGCCAGCCTAGGCTGCATTCTGTAACACGTGGTGGGACGTGCAACAAAATGTTGCAGTGCAAAGTACTGTTGCTCAGGATTTCAGCCACTTCCTTGTGCCTTTCTCTCCAAGAGCCCTTTGGGTACCGCATTCTGTGGCTGCTCAACACGCCCACTCCTCGCTGGACTGTTCTTGAGCCCCCGTTGGGTTAATCATGTGCTTCTGCAAACCTCAAGGTCCCTCAGGCTGGTTGATGCCACTTTTGTGTGATGGACTGATTTGGCTAGGCTCACATAAGCAAAAGCCTTTTCTGGCTATGTGAGCAACAGCACTGAGCAGCCTGAATGTTGGAAATAAAAGGACCTCTCTCCCAATTGCACCCAAAGGTACATTAGTGTGTTGTGAAGAGAGCAGCTCGCATGCAACAAACACGGTAGAACCAGCATGTGCTGTGCAGAACTGTGAAACTTATTGGGTTCTGGGCAGCCCATTTCCAAAATGAAAGTGGCTTTTAGCCCTGAGATTTAAGCATAGCTTGAAACAGAAGGAGGTGCCTTGCCAGGCCAAAGGTACTTGCCTGTTCTAGAAATATTTCAGTACGGCATGCACTAAGATCAGAATGCTGCTGTCTGAATTTGTGGTCATTGCTGATGGAGATCTTTTAACTTCTGCTACCTAATTCAGTGCTCCTGATTTACCCACACTTCATTCAAAAGCTGAGACATCTCTGTCAGCACAAATTCAGACAGTGGCATTCAGTGCTCCTAAGGCCTACTTCTTGGCTAAGCTGATGGACATTTGCAAAAGGCTTCAGAAGAGATTTCCAGGCATGTTCTGCGTTTATGTCTTATGGGCAAACAGAGAGTTGAGATGCTGAATTCCTAATGTAGAAAGCAGCTTTCCATACGGGACCCAGACTGGTACTGTGCAGAAAAGACCAATCAAGGCCCTGGAGCAACTCTCCTGTAGAGAAAGGTTACAACATCTGGGATGAGTTAGCTTAGAAAAGAGGTGACTAGGGGAAGATGTAATAGAGGCATACTAAATTAGACAGAATATGAAGAAAGTGGATTTATGGCAGTTTTTTCTTCCTCTTCCCAGAAACTAGAACATGTAAAAGGAAGTACTATACCTCTAAGCTTGAACACACTTCATGAGATGGTTGTGAAGACAATAAAAGGAGAGGAGGAGGACCCTATAAACTACCTGGGATTCCTTGAAAATTAATTATATTATTAATGAAAATGAAAATATTCCCTACATAGTTAAATTATTGGATTTATTTCCATAAGATGTAGGGGTGGCTCCAACTTAGACTGTGAAAAAGGAGATCAGACACATCCGTGGAGGAGAAGGCTCTCCATGGCTGCAGGTCGTGATAGCTGCATGCTCTCCACGGTATCCCCCATGCACCTTTTGCTGGGGAACATGGGCAGGAGGAGGCTGTTGCATTCTCATCCTGCTTGCGGGCTTCCCCCAGGCATCTGGTTGACTGCCCTGTGAACAGAATGCTGGACTAGACTGGCCTGATTTAGCACAGTTCTATTATGTTGACCTGGTCCCCAACAGTGTCTTTGCTGAAATCAATTTAATAGCCCTTCCTTTGGTCGCAAATGAATATATAAAGACTCCTTTCTTTGTTCCATCAGAGGATGAATTGTCCATAAGGCTGCAACAGACACAAGTGTCGCTCCTCACAAATGAAGCCTGTGCCAAATACTGGGGAGAAGATATTAAAAATACCAATATCTGTGGACGAGCTGCTGGGCTTGCACCTTGTGCTGTAGGTAACTGGTGTGGGATATACTCATCACATGGGCAAAAGGGTGGCCACCCTCATACTGGGTGGCCACAGTGAGATGCAGAGACCTCTGCAGCAGTCAGCAATACTGAAATAGTTTTTGCATGACATATCAGAGATATCAGTTAAGACCTTTTTATTTAATCAATATTTTAATATGTTTTAATATTGAATTTTATTATTGTGTTTGTTTGTTTGTTTATTTATTTATTTATTTAAAATATGTATATGCTGTCCTGTCGCGAAAGCCTCAGAACAGCTTACATAAATGAAATAACATAAAATATACCATAAATTAATTACTGGCCCACACTGGCTGCAGTTAAAACATATAGGAAACAATATTAAAACTTATTAATATATTTTTCATTTTCAGAATATGATAGTTTCTGTTTAGAAAGAGGAAAGGAGTTTCTTGAATTGGTTTCACTTCCCAAAATGTTTCCTCATGTATTTGGAGCCAGAGTGGGTTGTCAATTTATTTATGCTGTTAGCCGTCCAGAGACGTTAGTAATTGCACGTCATACACATTTCATAAATATCATGCAGGGCTGGTGTCAAGGGTGGGCACAATTGGCACCTGCTGAAGGACCCACACTCCAGCAGGGTCTCGCTCACAAGAGCTGCTTTGGGTTTCTCCTCCTCTTCACCTCTGCAATGGGCTTTCTCCGTCTTCTTCTTGCTCTGGCCCAGACAGTGGTGATGGGGGGAGGAGGGAGCAGCAGGAGATGCCTGCCTCCTTGCTCTTTGGTGCTGCGCTTATCAAGTGTGCCAATACTAGCTGGGATGGGAAAGAGGAGGAGCAGCAAGAGCAGCTGCTGACCATGGTGAGGAGAAGGCAGACTCCCTGAACGAAGGGGCTCGATGAAGAGTGCCTGTGCAAGGGTACTCCAGAGCTGGGCCTGAGGGGAGGAAACAGGAGGCTCCTTATCCTGAATCAGGACACAGAGTTGCTTAGCTGCATGTAGTCTGCTGACTGGCAGCAGCTTTCCAGGGTTTTAGGCAGGAGTCATTCTGAGCCTTGTTTGGAGGTGCTGCAGACCAAATGCTAAAGTAGCTTCTCTGCTTTTGAGTTATGACCCTTTGGTAAGGACACCAGGATCACGATGTGCAATCTAAGTTAATGAAGAGTTTGGAAACGGAGCAAATCCAAAGGACATGATATGGCTACGTTGGGATCAGTAGGATGGTCATGAGGTTTCAGAGACTGCAGCCGTTATATGTGCAAGCTTGGGAATGTTGTGTAGACGTCAGTGGGGCTTGTTTCTGTGTTAACATGGGTAGGGTGGGCTTGAATACCAAATGAAACATGAAAATTCGGAACTTTCACTGTACTGCATACCCATATCTTTCTGCCTTGCTCCGAGTTGTGTCTCAGGATTTCAAATATTAGGTAATGTAGGTGTTTGAAACCTTGAAATGATTGGCTTGGTATTCCCCAACTTGATACTTCTGAGTTGTATTGAACTGCAAATTCCATCATCCCCAGCCAGGATGCTGGCTGGGAACGATGGAAACTGCAGTCACACACATCTGGGAAACACTAGCTTGAGAAGGCTGGACTTAAAGCACTGACCACTGGTTGATTTAAAGCTGGTGTTTCACTCAGTTGTGCCTTATTAGATTATGCATTGTAGCTAGCAATGCACGCCTTTCCCATTCTCCTCCTGCTCATGTTCCTTGTTCCAGAGAAGTTCTGGAGAGCCACTCGTATGCAAGATTGATGGACGTTACAAGCTGGTTGGTATCCTAAGCTGGGGTAGTGATGACTGTGATCCAGAGGTGCCAACAGTCTACACCCGGATTTCTGCTTACAGGACTTGGATTTCAACAGTCAGTCATGGGAAATTGTAATGGAGACAATCCTTACTTCCTTTGTTTTTCCTTAGTGGGTGGGGTGTGTGAGATGGCCCAACTAACTCTGTATTATGATGCAAAAAAACCCCAGACCCTATCTTGCTATGTACTTCCAGATAACAATAGAAAATGATGTTCTTCTCCTAAAATAAAATAAAAATAAAAGAACAGAAGAGCCAAACAGGTGAAAATTATCTGGAAAATGTGTATTTGGTTAAGCATGTCCTAATGTGTCACCTTGATCTGGCTCTAATGAAGCCAGTGGTAGTTTGACCTTTAATCTGTGCTATCATCCCCTGGTTTTAGGAGAGAACTAAAGTAAATTCCCAGCATGATTGTACTGAAACATTTTTAAAAGGACAGCAGCAGCATGCGTGGTTAAACTCCATGTCTATCCAGTTAGATTTTTCTCCCAGCATCCTCTCCAGTGACTTGCTGCATAGTAGTACATTTTTAGAAAGTGCCAACCTAGGTGTGTGATTTTTTTTGTCTCTCTCTCTCTCACTTGTTCAAATTTAGAGACTAAAAGCACCACCTAGAAACGACTCTTGCATGGGGGGGGGGGTATTTTGAGGGTAAATATGGGCCATCTTCAGGGAGTGGTGAGCTTTTTTAGGGCTGTAGCGGAGCATCCACTGCTGTTCGTTTTTATCCTGCCCAATCGCCCAAAGACTCTCTTGCCGTGGCCTGCCTCTTCTGTGCTAAATTGCCTCCATCTCAGGGGCCTTGCTTGAGGGGAATCCAAAATCTTGGATGCTGTACTGATAAGATAACTTATTTACACCTAGTGTATCTATAGTGCTTTTCCTAATGGCAAGAGATTCCATTTTACCTTTCTGGTGTCCAGTACATCTCAATTATTCTGACTGGTGTTTTTTTTAGGACATGCTTGTATGACCTTTTCTAGTTGGAACTGCATATATTCACCCTCTGTTTTATTTAACATATTTTCTGTCCTGCATTTTGAGGTCATGATGGCCAGTGATGCAGCTGGACCTTGGGCAGGAATCTGGGCTCCACAGTTCAGCCCTGTGCATCACAGAAACTGGCAAGTGGAGGGGCAGCGGGACAAATGCCCACTCCCGGCATCTGTGCCAGCAGGGGTGGGCCCAGACCACTCTATCCTTATTCATCCTTTTCTTATTAATATGTAAAAACATGTTCTAGTCAGGGCACTATACATAGTGTTACGTATTTGTCACAGAAGCTCATTTTCTATTTTTACTTTAAAAACATGTTCTCTTTGCCTACCACAAAATCATGCCCAATGCAGGGTTCCAGTTAAAGCATCCCTGACAGGCCAGCCTTCTCTTGAATGTGTCCAGTGTGGCATCCAGCCCACAAACTCCCTAGGTAATGGGTTCCATTGTCATACTGCTCTAACGAAGTTTTTTCTGATGTCCAGCCAGAATTGGGCTTCATGTAACTTAAGCCCATCATTCTGTGTCTTGCATCCTGGGATGACTGAGAAGTCATCTGAGTCCTCCTCCTGGGTGAAAGCCTTTCAAGCATTTGAAAGGTGCTATTGTATCTCCCTCCAGGTATCTCTTCTCAAGGCTAAATATGCCCAGTTCTTTCATTCTCTCCTTGTAAGAAGGCAAGACTCACTGGAGAAGACCATAGGGAAAGTTGAAGGCAGAAGAAGAGAAGGAAGGCCGATAATGAGATGGAGCAATTCCATAAAGGAAGCCATAGCCCTGAGTTTACAAGGACTGAGCGGGGCTGTCCAGGATAGGACAGTTTGGGAGCGGCCATTCAGAAGGTTGCCAGGAGCTGGAGATGACTTGGCAGGATGTAACAACAAAGTGATGATGGTGGTATGATTTAAGTGACTTTACACTTTGAAACCTCACATGCTTAGAGCCTGCTTTTCTTTCGTTTAGGCTTCATAAACAGGGTTTTTGGCTTGCTTGCTTATTTTTTTGCATTTTCCTCTGGCATATCAGGAATGCAGAAGCAGTTGTAAAATATGAAATGGCTGGTGGGGGGAAAGAAATTGAAGTCATGTGCTTCACACCCAATGTAATACTTGAGGCCATCTAAAGTGGCAGGGGCAGCTGCTAGGAAACCATTTAATCAGAGTCTAATAATTATCCAACTGTACCACTGACTTTACAGTACACGCCAAGGAGCTAACAACGTCAGTACAATCATTTTAAAGCACACATAGTAAAAATAAAAATAAAAAATACAACAACAGCAAGCAGCCCTTGCATCAAGATGCTGTTTTGTTTTGTTTTTTAACAAGCAGGAAAGGTTTCTATATGCAGATATAAATGGCAACTTTACTTGTTGAGCAGAAAAGGAAGAAAGCAAGTGAGAAATGCTTGATAAACGTTTTCGTGAACATTTTGGATACGTCCTTGTTCACTTACCCCGTAAGATTGAAAGCTGCCAATAATCTGTAAATTGGTGCAGGAAAGCATATAGTATGAAACGAGGGGTTTAGCTGAATGTCTTATAGGGAGATGTTCCAGAATGTGACTGCCAATACCAATTAAGCCCCCGTCCATGCTGCACACCAACTTCACCTTAACTGGAAGTAGAAAACTCAGTAGGGTTTGCTGTTGAAGGTCCGTGTAATTAGAAATGCTCAAACGAATGGAGGGCATCCTTCAACTAACTCTGCTCTCAGTTTGCTAAAGTCATCACTTTGAGTTGAGCCTGGAAATAAATCAGGAGCCAATTAAATTGGTTAAACATTAGCATTAAAAAGGTAAAGGTTTCCCCTTGACATTAAAGTCCAGTCATGTCTGACTCTTGGGGGTGGTGCTCATCTCCATTTCCTAGCCGAGGGAGCCAGTGTTTGTCTGCAGACAGTTTCCGTGGTCATGTGGCCGGCATGACTAAACACCGAGGTGCACCGAACGCTGTTACCTTCCCACCGAAATGACACCTTTTTATCTGCTTGCATTTGTATGCTTTCAAACTGCAAGGTTGGCAGGAAAAACATTAGCATTGCATCATCACAAAAACATATTGGCATATGTAAGCATGGCCTATTTTTGTTTCGTGGGCCTTAGATCTTTTTGGTATCTAAGACAGCCCCACCATGAGAGTTGATTTGACCCTTGTGGCTGGAAGATGTTTGATGCTTTTGTTCTAGCCCAGCAAACCAAAACAAGTACTGTTCTATGTGTTGCTATCCACTTGCTCCATGTAATGGTACCAGTAATGTTCTCCTAAGCCAGGCTCAGAAACTAACCAGGGCCCTTTAAAGCCCACATCAAAATGAGAGGTGAGCTTTACAAGCCCGATTCCTGCTGCAGTTCAGATCAAAATCCAGGCGGGAGAAAGTTCCCGGCTTGCCCCTCTCTGCAGGTTTCTGCTTCCTTTCCCCATCTCCTAAACTGGTATTCCTCCACCCTGCTCTTTTCAAGGGACAGTTGTGCAAGAGCAGCAGCAAACATGACTGTTGATTGACTGGTGTGGGGATTGTAGGAGATGTAGCCCTTGGGAGGGGGGCGGGGGACACAAACTGCTTGTAGAGTCCCAGCCCCGAGAACTCATGAAGCAAGCTTCAGCTGTTTCTGCAAAATGCCTTATTTATTTACTGTCCAAGCTGGAAACCCAAATGAGGAGAACAAAGCATTTTGCCCTCATCTCCTCCATTTAGAAACCAGATAGCTTCTGAAGGCCTCGTGAACATTTATGCTGGAGCTTGGAACACACAAGCTCATAGGATTCTACCATCCTCTGTCCTCTTTCAAGCCTCCAAAAGCAAACTCTTCTTATGTCTGGGGCCCCTTGCATTGAGGGTGGGGAGAAGCATGTGAGAAAAACACAGGCAAGCACCCTGGAGCCTTCTGGATGCTTTGGATTACAACTTCCCTTATTCCCAGCCAGCATGAACAAGGTCCAGATTATGAGAGTTGCAGTTCAAAATATCCAGAGGACATCAGGTTTCGTAGCCCTCTTGAAAAGGCTTCACCGCTGTACCAGGTGAACCACACCCCATGGCACCAAGAGCTCTCAAGTTTGGATGTAGAAGGCCAGAACGGGGCTTGCCCACTGGACTCTCGTCTTCTGTATGAAGGAGAAGATACGCTTCTGTGGCCCTCTCATCTCTGAAGATTGTTCTTGAGCTGTTGAGATTGCTTGGACCTCCTCTGTCTCCTGGTATGGTTCAGAGCCCGCAAGAGCTGCAGAGAGCTGGCCTGTGGCTGTCGTTTCTGTATCACCTTCTTGGCCATCAGATCCCGCATTTCTTGCATTAACTGCTGCACTCGACTGTTCTGCAGCTGTAAGAAGAGCTCCTGCAAGTCTGCAGTAGGTTGGGGGTTAGGAATTGTTTCCTGTGACCCAGGGGTGGCAGTCCTCGCTCCGAGATGCAGCAGAGGAATGAGTCCAGCCAAACCCTCCGGCTTATGACGGATGAAAGTAGAGATGATGTAAACACGCATGTTGGAGTTGGACTTGGGAAGAAACTGTAAAGTGTCAGCAGGCTTTGGGACCAAAAGGGGTGCAGATGTTGTGGATGTGGAGGAGATAACTGTGGTGTTCTCATCACTGGAGGCCTGGGAGGAAAGGGTGGGAGCTGCAGATGCAGCAGGCTCCAAGGGGCGAGGGTTAATACAGGCTGTTTTGGCAGGTGTGAGGCAAGCGGTTGTCTCCTCGGCGGTGGTGGTGGGAGCCAGAAGATCTGCAGCAGGAGCAGTGGTGGTGCTCAGAGGCAGCTCAGCAGGGGACTCAGTGGCAGTGGCAGTGCTAATGAGAGGGTAAACTTCATCAAAGATTGTATGGGTCATCTGAGTCCCAAGCCTAGCAGCAGAGCTCCTGGGAATTCCGGCTCTAGCTTTGGTGGTCACAAACTTGGGTTTCCTGCTGTGTGGAGCACCAGTGGCAGTGATCGGTTGAGGGGGAGCTTCAGCAGGAATGGTGGCATGGGGGGACTCGGGAAGCTCAGGAATAGGCTTCTCAGTGGTTGTAGGCTCAAGAGAATACGGCGAGAGGAGGTCAAGCAAGGACTCTGCAGTGGCAGAAGTGGGAACGAGAAG